CGAAAACAACGACTGCATCATAGCAAATGCCTAATAGAACCACGCAGCAAATACCCAAAAAGTTACAGATCATGCAAGCCAACGTAGGCAGGAAGGCGAGTGCACACGAGACGGCACTTAACCTAGCCTACGAAGGCCATATCGACATTATACTGATACAGGAGCCTTTCGTCCGATCACAGGAAAGAAGACTCACCCGAACTCACCCAGCCTACGAGACCTTTGCACCAATAGATGACTGGATTGAAAGCAGACCGAGGGTGATAACCTACATACGCAAAGGGACTGGACTTAGAGGGGAGCAATGCCGACCACTATCTGCCCCATCTACAGACCTACTATTCCTTCAGGTCCTATGTGACCGCCACTACCTACTAACAATCATTACCATATACAACGCACCCCAAGCAGCTTCCCAAGGCGGCAAGGCCATTCAAGATATCCTAGGCCAGTACCACCTTGCTCCGCCAAACCGATATATACTAGCAGGGGACTTCAACCTACATCATCCGAACTGGCAACCAACGACGACGTACACCTCCCCAAAGGCCCAGGACTTGGTCGACTGGGCAGAATCTTTCGATCTCATACTTACATCGCCAATCGGTGAACCGACACATAGGGCAGGTAACGTCCTAGACCTTTCCTGGGCTTCAGCCTCGTTGCCAGGAGTCTCTACAAGCATCGAAACCTCCCTTAACACAACCTCGGACCACGAAACCTTGCTTACCTGGGTTCCACTCCCAGCGCTGGACAAGTCCAAGCCGACCTTAGGCAAATTTCGGCTGGATACGATGGACGAAGAGCTTTTTCTCAGCACCCTACAACGGAACATACAACCAATAAGAGGGACAGTGAGAACGGCAGACGACGCCGAGTCACTGGACCGCGTAGCGCAACAACTGACAAACGCCCTCATCGAAAGCCTTACAGCCTCCACAAAACGATCCAAAGGACTCCGACAAGGACGTGCATACTGGAACGAAGAATGCAAGCGAAAACATCAAGAATTTACTAACAAAAAGAGGGACACAAGAAGGCTTCAAGCTCTAGGGATAACCCGCTCAGAACACCTGGAGGAAATTGAAGCGCTACGGCAAGACTTCGTCCGGAAACTTCACAAGGCGAAGGACAAATATTGGAAAGATAGAATCGCTGCAGCCTCGACCAGTAAAGAAATTTTTGAAACGGCGGGCTGGCATAAAAGTACGGGAAACTTTTATACCCCGCCATTACGCGACCCCGAAAACTCGGACCGATTCATCTCCAAGCCAGACGAAAAGCGAGAATTATTCGCCCGCGTACTCCTCCGAAACACGGACAAGGCCGGCGATATACCCAGCGAGCTGCGAGCACCGGGACCCGATCCGAAGCTCCCTTTCCCCCGTGTCACCGCAAAGGAAGTCCAAAGGGCTATCCTCCAGGCCGGCAACACCAGTCCCGGATCCGATGGCATTACAACTGCAGCCCTAACAACTGCTTGGCCAGTTATCAAAGAAGTAGTCGTTGCGCTCTTCCGAGCCTGCGTCGAAGTTGGATGGCATCCTACATGTTTCAAAGAGGCAACGCTCGTTATTCTGGCCAAGCCAGGCAAAAAGGATAAAACGGCAGTACGCTCATATCGACCTATTGCCCTCCTATCCGTACTTGGGAAAGGCCTTGAAAGACTTATTGCAAAACGCCTCTCCTGGGTCGCAGTAAAGCACCGAGTCCTGCATAGCCAACAATTCGGAGCGCTCCCACAACGATCGTGTAGCGATCTGATTTCAGCTGTAATTCATGATATAGAAACCGCTTGGCAACAAGGAAAGTTTACCTCTATGCTGACGATGGACATCAGAGGTGCATTCGACTCCGTCCTACCAGGCAGACTGGCACAGCGCCTCCACCGACAAGGCTGGCCGGAAAACCTGGTACGCTGGGTTTATAGCTTTGCCACGCACCGAAAGGGGAGAATACGGCTAGACGGGGAAACCGGAGACACCTTTGACCTCGAATGTGGACTTCCGCAAGGATCGCCCGTCTCGCCGATCCTCCTCCTTCTATATATCGAGCCCCTATTTAAGCTGGGCACCTGCAGACCTGCACGCAAGCGCTCGCGATTCGGCTACGTGGACGACATAGCTATACTGTCAAGCTCTAGTTCCCTAGAAGAAAATTGCACTATACTGGCCGAAGAGTGGAAAGCAGCACTCGACTGGAGCATGTCTGAGGGTATCACGTTCGACCCCGACAAGACGGAGCTAATACACTTCACAAGAAGAGGGAGAGATGCAAACCCACCCATTACCACTACGCAACAGAATGGAACGATCCACACTGTTAACCCATCAAAATCGGTGCTGCACTCAGGTGGTTAGGCGTCTACTTCGATAGAAAGCTTAGCTTTAAGGCCCATGTCAAATTCGTCTCAGCTAAAGCTCTACAGGTTGCTAACGGACTCCGGTTGTTAGGAAACACAATCAGAGGGGCCCCAACACGACTACTCCGTCAAGCTGTAATCGCGTGCGTGCTCCCCGTGCAATTCTACGCCTCGGAAGCATGGTGGCCGTCTGCCAGACAGAACAAGAATGGACGCATTATCTCAAACCGGGTCCAATCCCTAGCTGACCAAATGGATCGAACGCAGAATACCGCAATGAGAGCCATGCTTCCTGTATACAGGACCACGCCAATACCGATCCTGCAACGGGAAGCGGCACTACCGCCAGCAGAAATCGCACTCGACGCAAAACTCTATGCGGCTTCTGTTAGATTACACAAACTGGATAGCCGCCATCCCTTACGCAGGAGGCTCAGACATCCTACGGGCCCCGATTCGAGGTTAAGGCGTATGGCGAGCCTAACCCCAGATACTGCAGAATATATAGATCCTCTGCAAATACCGCCCTGGGAGCAGGCTGGCGAATGGTCCATCACCCTCGCCAAGATCGGTTATATCCCAGGACAGTCAAAGGAGGAGGCTGCCCGCTCGTTTCTACAAAGGATAAACGAGTTTTCAAAGCGCGATATAATAATCTATACAGACGGCTCGCTGGCTACCCATAGCGACAGGACCTTAGCTGGAGCAGGCTGGGCTGGTTATCAGGCCGGTAAAAGACTACTCTGCGGGTCCGAACTACTGGGCTCTCAGATAGAGGTATACGATGCGGAAGCCCACGCAGCACTACGGGGGCTTCAGGAGGCTGTAAAGCTTCCGTCCAACAGCATGGCAGATAACGTCCACATCTGCCTCGATAATCTCGCGGTTGCGGGTAGGCTCATCTGTCCAAGTCCCGGAAGCAGTCAAGCAAAATTCACCGCCTTCCAAGAGCTGTCCAAAACCTGGTCACAGAGAGAGCGAAAACCCTGGACATCCCCGGGACAAGTGTATATCTGGTGGTGCCCAGGACACGTAGGCATCCCCGGAAACGAAGAAGCAGATGTCCAGGCCAAAGCGGCCTGTGAGCAACCACCCAAGACACAACACCCGGCCTCATTCGCACATATAAAGAGAATCGCGAGATCCTACACTTGGAAGAGTTTCAACGATCGATGGGCCACTACCTGCCCTCAACAGTATCGAGATCTAGGGATCGCTATCCACCCGCGACCCCCCGAACTTGGCCTGCCCCGGCAACACCTAGGCAGATTACTCGCAGCGAGGTCGCACCACGGGGATTTCGTGACCTACCACGAGAGACTCCAGCATCGCGACGCACTGCTCAACTGCGGGTGTGGAAAGACAAAGACACCAGTCCACTTCTACTTTTGCAAGCGCGGCCGCAAGGCCACGCCCGGTCATCTAAAAGCGCATATGGCCAAGAATAGTATAGATTCCCTCCTAGGCACGGCCAAGGGAGCTCGTTTGTTTTGTCAATGGGCAGAGGAGACCAATTTCTTTACTGAGATCTGCCCATCGCACTGAACAGGAATGTTAGATGAAGACAGTCCCCTGTAACATAGATTCGACTAGCATAGACCATGCCGGCACTGCGCCCGGCACGTCTCACGTGATGAGACGTTAAATTTCAATCAATCAATCAATCTGTGTGACTCACTGGTGGTATTCTAGGAAAAGTACTTAAGCTCCGAGTGAGGACAATCTATTAGTTGATTAATGCGACGTAAAAGGTGCTGTCTAGCGGATATAGAAATCTTTCACCTTTATGCAGAGGTACCGGGACATAAAAGGCAGCGGTGAAGGAAATGCTCAAAGCAGAATTTATAGGATCTACTTGTACGCCTGTTAGGCTATGTTAAACCAAAAGTTGGTAATAATACGCTTGGGTCTACCGCTAGGTAGTTACTAGGATAGCTGCCTAAAAAGGAAGTGATTTTCCTTACCGATAGGTTGTGAGTACCCGACTTAAATAGCATCATAGTACCTATCTGTCAACTATGAAGTTATCACTTGTGGAAATAGACTACGATACAGCATAGTGTTAGATATTCACGTATCTTGCAGTATGACCGTGATATGACGGTTATATGAAAAGAATAATTTGGTGGTTATGGTTAGGTCACCGTTTTTTCCATGCTCGATTCCCTCTATCTGTTCTGTTGGCTGTGTGCATTGCCTTTAAGTAATCTGAAGGGTCCAGCCTTACTAGGCTACCTCTATCCCGCCTTTATCCTGAAGCACAAAGCGCTGTTATTCTAAGCATAAAGCGCCTTTCAACCTTAGGAATCACTATGGTGCTCAATCCCACATTTAATATCAAACAACAGTCTAGACAAAGCTAGAACTAACGATATGGTGCTTCTATGCTCCAATACCATGTGACCCGTCGTTTTTGACACATAGAGTTGCTAGTGGAATGCGTGCGTTTGAAGAGCTGCTTAGGGGAACGTTCGCCTTTGAGCCTCCCGATATGGCAACAGCTAGTATATTTATAGATTCTAGACATTTACTTCGGTATGCTATGCTAGCGTGTAAAGGTAGATCAACATTCTCGCAGGTACTGAAATACAATAAATATGATAGTATTGGGGATATATTATAAAATCGTAGTTGGTCTCTACGTAACAAATGACTGGCCCGCCTGCGAAAGAAATGTGTTTATCGACTGTGTCGCTGCTTGTACCGCGTGTATTGTCTGCGGAGACATGACTCGTTGAAGCTGAGACGATAGATCATTCATGTCAGTTTGGATTGTTGAAATCGCGAGCGTGATAAACGGGCCAGCACCAGTTGCCTTCATTACCGCAGACTGTAGGCCGTCAGGAGAGGAACCACAAATAAGTTGAGGGGGTACAATTGAACCTACCTTTTTCTGAAGACCAATGGCCGCAGCAGATACCTTGGGCAAAACGGTGGAAATCTGCCCAGCAACTGCCGCATTGTCTTGACTGCTCAGGGCTTGGCTCGCCATGACGCTCTTTGACACAGTCTTGAGAGACTGGTCGACCGATTGCACAGCCGAGGTGAGCGGGATGAGACCTAGTAGTCCACTTTGATATGCGTTGATCGCGGTAGTAAAGCTGTCAAGACTACCACCAACAGTGGAAAGACCCGACACGATCGATGTAGCATTCGATGCTTGCCGTACCTTAACAAGAGAAGAACCGAAGGCTGGGGTCATGTTGTAGAGAAAGATTAACCATTTCAAATATACCATGATGGGTGTTTCGCTGTATATCCAGAAGCAGACAAGTGGATAATCTTGGAAGAGGGTCAAATATTAAATGAAGAGAGTAACTTCGCGTATTTGCTCCAAGACCACGTGTTGGAGGGCAGGCAATCACTGTAATATCAATTTAAAGGACGATCCTACCCGGAGTCTCCGTGAATATCTCGAGGTCTTGCTTGATGCTACACATGTTTCATAACCAGCGCGGGCATGATTCATCATGGAGTTGATACAAGTTATTACAACCATGCATTGCCAAATCTTGCTATTTAGTGGACGAAAACATATGCGGAAGGCTTCGCTCGGCGTGCGATGTTTCATCATTGGCCGATTAAGGCAAGTGATTCAACGTCCCAACTTTGGATGGACTGAAATGAAGATGTGCATTTAGCGTACAGCGACTCGTGCTTATAACGTCTCCTCCCATGGCGATTAGCAACTAGGGCCTGGCTGATAGACTTCAGATCATAGTTCATTGAAAGGTTACAACGCGACTTTCCCAATTTAGGGACGCTGACGTGTCTCGGCCTAATACATCCACGTCTGAATATAGTCTGAAGTCTTAACGTGATCCACAAGTCAGTGACTCACTTTCAACCATCAATTCAATATTAATCAAGATAACTTCACCACAACACATCAGATCAATTCAACTAAGCAGAATCTTATTCATTAGATGTTTCTAATTCTACTTGACAAGTCCGCGTATTATACCCAGTCCCCCCGCAGACACCACAACGTCTTGCACTAGTTACGATCCTTTTCCTTAGACCATTACTTTTATCTTCCTCACCCTCTACTGCCTCGATATCACCCTTGGCTTCCCGTAGCTCTTGTGAATCAGCTACAGTAATTGTACCTCCATGCTGTATTTGCTTATTTTTAGTTCTGCGACGTTTACTTAATAGGTGGTTAGTCTCATAGAGCTCCTTATTCGCTTGTCGCAGAAGGGCAACCTCATGCATTATTAGGTGAGTAGCCTTCGCAATTGAGTCTACAGAGCTCAAAATATGGGTTATGGAGCTATTTTGATGCCTCTGGACACTAGTCTTAATAAGAGTTCATTGATAAGTAGCCTCCAGGGTGGTAGTAGGAGTCTTGGAAGTCCAAGTAGCAGCCGGCAATTGAGGGTCGGGCGACGGTGTACGGGCTTTTAGAGCAACATCTAACGAGGAAATAACCCTTTCTGGATCCAATGGAACAAGTCCAGCCGCTTCGAAGCCAGACCGAATATTAGATTCGGTCATTGCCTTATTAGATGCCTCTAGAAATCCAGATGGAAAATCCTCCTTCGCAACGTAGGTTTGGTGCTTTTGCATTCGCTTCTCAATATAGCCACTATAAGTGCGTTTTAACACACTAAAAGGTACTATATCGAGAGGCTGGAGCCGATATGATGAATAGGCAGGCATACAAAGAGGAACAATTCCCGTTTTTTCTGGATTCCTCGAAATCCATCGAGTGATGGCTTTCGTGGCCGTCGAGAATTAAAAGACGTTTCGTACCCTTTGTACGGCTCCGGGTATGTAAATTAAAATGATTTACCTACTCTACACCTAATTCATTAGTTGTCCAAGCATTACTGGATAGAGAAACCTTCCAGTCGCGTGGTAAGGCAGCGTCGCGGTACCAGGAGGCAAGGTGAATTTTCCCCGCGAAGATAATAAATGGAGGTACTGCCCAGCCTTGAGAATTGATGGGTTGGATAACGGTAACCTATTCCCTATCACCCTGCTAGGCTTGTCTAGGCCTACCCTTTCGTTTAGCACTTGTAATGACCATTCCAGTCATAATCATATCTATTAAAAACCCTGTCTCGTCAAAGTTATATATATCTTCCCGCGTGATCCCGTATTTCGTTATTATATCGGCAACAAGCTTAAACCACGCGCGATATACGATAGGATCTTCGTTAAATGCCCTCTGGTAGTCAATTCGACGATTTAAACGCGTTCGGAGGAGTGGTTATCGGTTAACGAAATTTGAAACCCAATTCTTGCCCACGGGTGGCGCGTCGCGTACCCGTCGGAGTATATTAGCCATATCGATCACGTTTTGAAGGCGGGGAGGAAATACTCGCGAATCTAGCTCAATTATACGTCGAACAATCGTCTCTTCTTCCACCGTGGTCAAATTCCGCTTCGTAGCGTTATGTTACACGCAAAGGTGGTCAAAGATTTGTGAGGTTGTAAAAGCATGACATTCTATCTAGTCCTATGGAGCACGAAGGTTGGACTTAGTCCCGAAGGGCTAAGTCATGTGGTAACCTTGGTGGTCTTGGCAAAGCCCACCAAGGTTGCCTAACAATGCCCCCTTCAAAGAAAATATCAATGTCATCTCTGTTCTCTATCCGTCCTCTATTTCGTTTGCTTTTTCCTTCGTGTGGTTCCTGTTGTAATTATCGCCACTAGATTCCACCTAGTTTAGGTGATGTTCTTTGCCAATTTGTCGTAGCGATGTATTTGTTGCTAAGGTAGATTCTCGAAACTGAGCCTCGGCGGCCCCATCTTTGTGATTTTTCGTCATCCTTATAGATCTGGGTCGCTTTGTAATGTTCCTCGTGGCTTGGCAGTTCGACTTTTAGGGAAAGTTGTGCTGTGTGAAGAAGAAAAAAGCTTCTGCGGTGTAGTTGTTTTCTCTTGCTCTTTTGGTCACCACACGGCCGCTTATATATCTTTCAGTGTTGCTTTCCTTGCCGTTTTGGTCTTTTCCTTTTTCTTCGGTTCGGGCAGCTTTCGTTGGCAATTCGACTTTTTCGATGTTCTCGATGGGGAATGCCGGCATTGACAATACTTACTGATGGTAGAAATCGCCCATCATACGATGTAAGGCAAATGGATTGAAAATTTGTATGATAATTTGTGGTTGAACCAAGTCAAGGTTCCAAAGGCCGTGGGGTGGAAGTTTATGAGGATGAAGTCTAAATGCTGATTAATTTGCTCGCGATGACGTCTTTGTCGTTGATTTGGCTACACCACGACAATCTGCTTTGCAGTGACAGTGCAAAGTCCGAAAGGTTCGATCAGTCTTTGCAGTGACAGTGCAAAAACCGATGGATGCGATCAGTACGATTTGTGATGAGTGTAGAATGCTCGCGATGACGTCTTTGTCATTGATTTGGCTACACCACGACAATCTGCTTTGCAGTGACAGTGCAAAGTCCGAAAGGTTCGATCAATCTTTGCAGTGACAGTGCAAAGACCGATGGATGCGATCAGTACGATTTGTGATGAGTGTAGAATTCGATGGTTGCCAGGCCGGTTTACCTTGGTCCCCAGCAAAGCTTACTCAACCGAGTGACCTCGGGCAGGGCTTTGGTAGGGTAGGTTGCTTTTGTCGTCACCTTTGGATCGTTGGACAACCGCAACGATCGTCAGGGAAAAAATTAGTAGGTCCCTTGTCGAAGAAGAGATGCTACCATTGTTACACGCAAAGGTGGTCAAAGATTTGTGAGGTTGTAAAAGCATGACATTCTATCTAGATTGATTGATTGATTGAAATTTAAAGTCTCATCACGTGAGACGTGCCGGGCGCAGTGCCGGCATGGTCAATGCTAGTCGAATCTATGTTACAGGGGACTGTCTTCATCTAACATTCCTGTTGTCATTCTATCTAGTCCTATGGAGCACGAAGGTTGGACTTAGTCCCGAAGGGCTAAGTCACGTGGTAACCTTGGTGGTCTTGGCAAAGCCCACCAAGGTTGCCTAACACATTTTTAGTAACTGCGATAACCCAATCAGGCGGTAATGGGCTGTTTTCGTACCATGACGAGAGGTGGGTTTTGCCGGCGAAAATGATGCACGGAGGGAGGGCATAACCGGATGACCCAACGCCTTGAATAACTGTAACCCATTCCCGATTTCCTTGCTGGGCTGCACTAGGCCTTCCGCGCCGATCAGAAGTCGTCACGACCATTTCGGACGAGATTTGGCCCATCACAAAACCGGTCTCGTCGAAATTGTAGATATCCTCCTCCTGGATCGCGTATTTCGCAATTGTATTCCGTACCAGGTCAAACCACGCGCGATACGCGTCGGGGTCTTCGCAGAGGACTCCCTGATAGTCGATCCTTCGATTTAAACGCGTCCGGAGGTCTGGTTGTCGTCTTACGAAGCTCGAGGCCCAGTTGACGCCGACGCGTCCCGCGTCGCGACTTCGAAGTAATCGGTTGGCCATATCTTCAACACCACTCAATCGGGGAGGAAATGCTCGCGAATCTAGGTCGGGTATATGTCGTACGATTGCCTCTTCTTCGGAAGGAGTCAACTTTTGCGTTGGCGATCGCGTAATCGCTCGAGCGGTTTTACCGTCGCGTCGATACGCAAGGGTTCTAAAAGGTACATTATAGATCTGACCAGCGCGACGTACACTTAATTTTGGATCAGATTGAAGCGCATGTAATGCTAGAATCATATCACTTTCATTCCAAGAACCAACCATAGTTATGTGGTGAAAAACCGCAGGTCAAAGTGATAGCGTACGAAAATCTGCCGAAGTGTGCAATTGGACCGTGGACTACGTTATCCGTAGTGTTAAGGTAATATCGATCCTATGCAAATACGAGCTCAAGTCTTAGGCTAAGATAGAGAATTAGATAATACACTACGGGGTTTGGTGACATTGGTAACTCGCCCCCTGCAGGAATATATTCCATTGGAGCTGATCATAGACTCAGTTAATTCCCTTGAATCCAGGCCTTAACGGAGGCTAAGACAACACATCTCAAGCCTAACAAGCCTTCTTGTTAAGACGACGTATTCTTTACTTAAGGTAGTTAATCTGAACCGATGCCTTTTAGGTTCTATTCTGTCATTTAGTCTCATCGCTCTTGATTACTCCATAATCCGTTGAGTCTGTGGTTAGCCTCACGGATTTCTAACTGCTGACCAGTTTCAACTTTACCCTTCATGGTTGATAACAGTGGACTATTCCAGGGGTATGTCATGGAACGGAGACTATGGTTTCATGGTCACGTTTCGAATTGATAGTTTCTAGGATGGAGCGGGTTTGTAGTTACAGCGGTAGGCCATATTTCCAACAAACCGCCTATGATATTAACTTGATGTCTCGCGTTTGCTCTTTATATCTTCACGAGCTGAACGCCCATTGGCTTTACGGTTCCTATTCAGCCTCGCAGTTATTTAAAGAAGTCATCTATATTTCAACTCCTCCTATAGCTCATGATAGTGCAGTCACTGGGGGTATATGTCCGTTCGCTCATTCCTCGTCCCTCATGAAAAACCCCTGCGGCTGCTGCTGGTATATTTCTTCCGAACGTATCCTACGTCTAGTAACGGCGAGTCCAATCCGTGCTTATGTCGTGATTCCAATCCATACCAAGTGGCTGTATTGGTCTTGCGACTTTGCGTCGTGAACTGACACCGGCCATGTATGCCAAAATCCATGTCCGAGAAATGCTTCCGATTTTAGAGGTTTGAGATGCTCCCCAAGTGCCGACGAATGCTTCCATCCCTTAATCTCCCAATTCGCAAAAGTAAGTCATTTTTCTTGCGCCCTTGGCCTCGTTTGTTGGGTTTCTCTTCGTCTTTAACGCATGACACCCCGACCATGTGTGCGTTTTAACCGCCCGCCAGTTATCGCGGCTTGACAAACGTCACGGCTAACTTGAAGAAATACTATAGGAAATCCCTACTTAAAGTATCGCGAAACCAGCCTCTTCCAAAAGCTCACCGGCAGGCAGCATAGGCCGGCCTTGCATGGGGAAGGGCCAGAATAGAGGATTCTCGATACTTGTGGCTTTGTGTACCATTGGTACTTGCTCAGTGACGACTTCCATCTTGGGTAATTCTGCTGTGTCTCCTTGTGCCTGGACGTCTTCCATGCCGTCAAAGCCGGAAGGCTGAGGTGGGTTCGCCGCATCACCCCTCGTTTGTGATTGCTTCTGCGCATCGGGACCGGGCACACCTTCTTGGCTACGAATTCCCCAGACACAGGTAAAGTCATCCACTAGCACATTTGGCACGAAGAAGTTGAGGCTGCTCGTCGACGACGCTGCGTACTCGTCACCATCAAAGTCCTTGGCTGGTATGTTGTGTGGGGGCGGTATGTTGACTTGGATATGCCATTTTTTGGCCAGGTAGCGTAGGATGTGCAAAGCTTGTTCGGCGAAGTGGTGACAAGGTGCCAATTCAGTCAAATCCGCGATCCCCTGAGTGATGGCCTCGGTCACACGGGGGCTCAGTTTTGATGTTGAGTTGCTCGATGGCGAGCTAGATTCCTTTTTCATGTCGGACGACGAATGAGGGTGTGCGTGTAACGTCGATGCGTCCTCGACCTTGGCGGTTGACGCATTTGAGGTGGCAGCGGGCGAGCCTGGCTGCTCCGACGAGGTGTGTGCACCCACAGCGAGGTGCATGATTGCCGACGTGAGGACAAAATACGGGACGAACGACGGTGTCCGACGAAGGGTATATAGTTGAGAGTAAGAGCGCAGCAGGCCTTGCATGGCATCGGCAGCTTGCAAGCAGACATCGCGAGGGATAATGCTGGAACCCACAATGCGTAATTTGATGAAAGGGCGAAAGAGAAGAAGGATGGCGAAATGGTAATACATGCTAGAAGCGGTTAGTTTGGGCTAAGCCAATCACTTCCGGACGAAAACATACTGGGCAAACAGCACGGCAGGAGTGAAATTGTGTCCGAGCCGCAGAACTTCGGGTATTCTGTCGTACCAATTAAGATACTGTGTGTAGATATTAAGAAGATCGCGGCTCGTGACGGGCCTGCCAGGTGAGTGGAGGACATAAAGTGATTGGTGAACTAGTTCGCTCAACTCGCAGAAACACTTATACACCGAACGCACGTTCGAAGGCTGTTCGAAAGACCGTTGCAGAGGCGCGCCTAAGTTGTTAGAACCTAAAGTCAAACCTCAACAACCAAAAGTCACCCTCGATAGAATCGGCACTGAACTCACCGTCGTCCGTGTACGGTATCCATAAACTTGCTTCTACGTCGTCAATTATGGCCGGCTTGGGCGGGAGACGAGGGAAGCAGGAACATTGAGGGAGTGAGCCCGTTGCCAGAGACCAAGCGCTAGGCCGTGTCAGCCGATTTGCGTTGCATTTTACACATCGCACGTTAAACATTGGATTGGAGGACTTCATGATGGGTTTGCTTACTGGTCAAGGGCAAAAGCCCCCCAAAATGTAGCGGCTTGAACGGCCAATTCGTCTTCGTCGTCGTCGTCGTGGATCATGTGGAGGCCCATCTCAATTGCCATGCGTACACTTTGGCCCGCATAATACCAACTCTCCGAGTCTCTTCCACAGCTAGCTTCCCTTATCGACATGATGCCGAGAGCCTGGATGGTGGTCAATGTGTGATGGTTGGTCTCCCGATAGAGCAACCGGAGAGCCTCTTTGAAGAAGTGGTCGCCTGATGTGTAAGGGTCGTCAGGGTTGGCGCGGGTGTTGGGCTGGCTCGAGAATCTGCAGCCAAGTGCCAGCATGGCGTTCACCAGGATCGGGGAGCAGTATCTATGCCGGCCGTCGAGGAAGTCTTTGAGGAAGTGTTCTTTGCTGAGAGAGGCAAAGGTCGGATATTCCCAGCAGAAGTAGAGTGCCAACAGATGCTGCACCAAGCTGGCATCTCCGGTGACGTTGGTCCATGTACCGGCGGGAACCTTCATATCGGGTGAGTCGAGCGAGGCGAGTATCTGATCTAGCCCTCGATAGCGCGCACCTTCGGTGGACTGGTCCTGGATCCAGGTCCCGACTCGGCTTTGCGGTGGTACGTCAGAAATCCATTGCATGGCATCTGGGTGGGATTCGCTTCTGGTGGATACGGTATGGCTTTGAGTGGAGAAATTCCATGGGCTGTTCTGATCCACGCCGCCGCCTCCTTGTGGCTGCTGCTGTTGATGTTGAGTTTGTGCTGGGTGGCCCATGGAGCCCATCGGGGCATATCCACCAGGGCCCAAGCCGGCGCCGAAGGCCAAAGTGGGAGAGAGTGTCGTGCTTGTTGCCGAGGTGGGTTGCGCCAGGATGGACGAGGTGGTACCACCCGCGGGAAGATTGCTGCCGAGCCAATCCGAAATACTATCAACCGTCTGGCCATCGCGCAGTCTCCCCAAAATGTCCTCGCTCAGTTGCGTCTGGACGAGTGCAGACAGGACATGATCACTCTGGCGCTGTTGCCGGCGCAGTGTCTCGATCTCGTGGCGCAGGTGCTCCTTGGACTGGCGTACCGGCACTTCGTAGATGCATTCAACATCCTTTTGTGATTTGCACCTCGCGCAGGGCTTCTTGCCATCGCACTGTAGAGTGTAAGCTTGTGCCAGGGTGCCGAAGACCGACAATGGCCACGAACCTTCGCACGCTTTTTGCGACATTCGGTGCAGGCGTTGGGCGTGACGACGCCGAGCCCTCGTCTTCTCTTGTTGGCGGCGTCGGACCCTGTCGCATTGTTGGTGGGAGCTGGGTGCTTCTCCGACGTTGAGGACGACTCGGGACCACTCTGGGAGCGGCGCTCCTTGGTCTCCTCCTCCATTGGTGCAATCGGCGGCATCAGCTGTATGTGGCGGACATGCTCAACTGGTCGGCGTCGCAGTGTCTAGGCATTCGTCGCTGTCGCAGTAGGGGGGGATCTTCTGGAATCACACTCTTTTATCGCAATCGATGTGACTTCAGGAGTCTTGATGTCGTGCTCAAGTCGAATTCAGACTCGCGCATGCGCTGGTTCCGAACTTCTCACGATTGGTGTTGGGCAGGGCGTCATGTGAGGCGTTATGCTTAGTAGAAATTTCGGTGTTGTAGATCTATGAATATTCCAGTAAGAAACAATGAATGCGAAGACTGCAGACAAAAATTGCGACAGGGCGCGCAGCTGGTCGTCGGCAGGAATGTCGTTCGAACAAGGATTTAGTAGAGTCTGGAGGGCAGAGGCAACTTCCCCGTCAAAGCTCCCGTGCCACAAAAGCTCCCTCTGTTTTGATTTGCCGAACAGCTTTCAGCGCTTGAGAGTGCGGTAATCCCTGTAAAGTCCACTGGTTAACGCCCGCACTATGGACCTTTTACTCCCCTTGAGAACCTAGAGCTTCATCTCGTGGCTTCCATTCCTATGCTCAGCATCGTCGCATGCACGGGGGCGTTTGAATGACTATTGCCATGATGCTTCCATGGAAATTCTGCTACACTACAGACTTCATGTGATGCGTTTCGACGCACACAATCTCTTACAGTACTAATATCTAAAAATCTAGAACTCAGCTCGATATTTTTGATCTGTGGTGACGTCAAAAGCGGGACCTGGGGAAGAAACAGGCGACTCCAGCGCTAGTGGACGGGCGAGTATCCGGCTTCCCGCTGGTACCTGTGAAGCACCCGACTTGAGTGGGCAAGCTGTGAAGGAACTCTTCAAACCCCCTTTAGACTGGACGGCTCACCAGCGAATCATAGACGAATTGCAACCACATTGGCAACTCGCCATAGCCGGTGTCTCGTAATCGAATTCGTGGATGTTTCAACTAGTAATTATCATTAGGTATTCTAGAGTCAAGTACACACATTGAAACTCTTGCTCGTTTCCATGTTAGCCTATTCCACCCTTAAAATCCACAAGTAACTCTGCAAATATAAGCATGCAGTCCGCTAACATTAGAAAGGTGTAAGGAAAGAGCCGTTGTGGCGGGCCGGTCTCAGCTTGTCAGCTGAGTCGGGAGGGATTCGCCCCCGATCCGGTAGAACCCCGGAACCGCCCAGCTTAAGAGGAGAACTCGAGACGCTCGCACCTAGTTTAGATTCTTCAAGAATCAGTCTTGCAATATACGCACCTATACACTGGCCTACTTCTAGCTACCCTTTGCACTACCTGACTATTATATTGTGAGACGTGTGGTATCCTCGTTACAAAAGGATACGCTTTCACTTAAGCGACACGCTGCTTAGATACTATGTCACTGTTATGTGGTCGGTGCGGCGCCTGTGCTACTGCTAGGATAGTTGGCCCTGCCTTCCGCTGTAGCTTCTTATACTCATCTTCTATAGTTCAATATTTGGAATATTCTTAGATGATTATGTTTATTAATTCTACGTATTTATTTTACTGCTATTTGGTATTTCTCAAGTTTAGCTTATAACAAGGTAGAGATACTACGAGTATAAATTAGAGTTTAGATACTACATAATCTCAATTATATAATACTAAAATAAAAAAGAAAGAGAAAGGGTTAAAAGTATACGTAATTCATGTCTAGGATAGTATATCCTGGGGTATCCCTACCTAGTATCTCTATATATAGTAGGCGTTGTATTCTCCCTCTTGTAACGAGGCAGAGGCACGTAGGTACGAATCAAGGTTGCATATCAGTGCATCTCTATTGTTGAATACTAAACTAGGGAAGAAAGAGAAGGAAAGGGTTACAAGTATGTCTGGCCGTTCTCCTATTATAAGGGGAACGCGCTCGTCCAGATCAGGGCAGGCCATGTCAGGATGTCCCTGCTTATCGTCCATGTGTCAGTCGTCACACCTCTTCTGTGACAGGCTGTGCCTGAAATGGGATCCGGAGCTGCAAGAACCTTGCGTCCGGATCCAACAAAGGAACCATCGAGGGCATATAAAACATAGTTTGCGTTCTCGGAAAACTCGCTTATTTTACTTTCCTCCTCAGTTAGATAATTAACAGTATTTGGCCATGTTGAGCTGTATAGTTTCGCAGTGAGCCCGTCACATCTTCTAAGAGGATCACTCCTAAACCTTAAAATAGTACCCGCATGCTTACTTCTACGATCTCCGCTGATGTCCACGGTTAATTCCGCTCTTAAGGAGCGGAGCTTAAAGCCCTGTCCTATTACACGTGTATCTGACCAATAGGATAGGGATTCAAGTGATTGATTGCAGTCGATTGACTGCTGGTGTGACCTTATGTCGGGAGGGATAATCATTCCTCCTATGTGACTATGTGTGTGGCTTGTACAGTGGCTGTAACCCAACAAGCCCCTTTCCTAAGTCTTTTACTACTACACTAACCGTACTAGAGGCTTAGCCTTCTTCACATGCTTATTAGCAGCGAATGAGTGTGATTATGTTGCCTGGAACTAATAAGTACGTCGACTTAGTCGTTAATGTTCAAGCAGCGAGACATTAGCGGGGAACGCTGTGATTAGCTGTGCCAATCCATATTAGTCAAGGTTCATATCGTAATAAAATTTGAATTATCGCAGAAGCGTAGATTCACACAGTCCTGAAGAAGTAAATTCTTGAATCCTGTACTAGTATCTTGCTAGCGGTTGGTGCTAAGAGTATAGGTAATTATATGCGTTTGGGAGAATCAGCCGAACGACTGGCATTGATTTACGCCCTGCGATGCGAAGTTTTCTCCACGATTCCCCAACGTGATAGCATAATGTGGACGCCCTATTTCAGAGACATATTATCTCCCGTGACGGTACGTGATCAACACACTCTACGTCACTGCGGCCTCATAAGAAGCAGAATTAGCTGTCGTTTGACTCCGGATTCGAAATATCGTAATACAGTATCGTGAAAACTGCATAGGCCTGGCTGATCCCAACACTTGGCAGAAGGGCACGGGAAAATGACTGAAGAGTCCTGTCTGTTGCTTGCGGCCTCTTCTATAAAGAGCTATGCTTACCTGTTTAAGGACGGAAATAAACCCAGATGGCGACCTGCACTCAAGTAGTAGTTGAATAGTAACAAGAATACGGGCCCTTGGTCTCCAACCTTTAAATTATGCTCCAATGGTCTTAGGGGTGTTCGGATTCGAATGCAAACGTAGATGTTGCTGTAGTTAGCGAGGAATTCGGACTGAACATGGAGACGGCAACACAACGTCAGTGGATATGCAATCGCACGAACATGGTCATAGTGAGCCACGAGTTGTGGAATACCCACCACATCCACATTTAAAATGGAACTTGTTGTGATCCAGCATCCCATATCCATCCCGAACTTATCGTATTGGACTCTTGGGGGTTATTGAGGATTGAGCAGGATATATTTGGCAGTCTTCATATTGTACAAATTACTTGTAAAGACTGGTAAACATGGGCGAATTTCATGATATACAAATCAATAGGACAATACTACTAGTCCGTAGAATGTGAATGGAAAGGCCAGTTGAGAGGCAAATCCTACGCCACGCAGCCGTTACCCTAAAATAAAATAAAACAAGCATGCCTGCGAACCACCGTTGGAGTCAGCCTGCCGATTTTCACTAACACAGTTTTCCGCTGGGCGGTTTGGGTGGTGGTTGCGTCTCCAACGGTAGTGTCATCGTAAATCTCAGCCAACCAGCTGGGGATACACTATTATCGCTATTCTACGTATTTGCCCGGATATGTTTCCATTGAACAAAACGCCACCCATGCCTTGATGCAATGCAAGTCACTGAAATTTTCTGCAGCCTTCAACATATTACTCGCCCAAAACGAAACATGCCATATACCATGACCACAATGCTTGCCGACCACTGCTGGGCTCTGGCTTATCCTTTTTTTCGACAAACGACCAACTTCATTGTTGCCCTAATACCTCTTTGTTGGGCTCCGACTCTTAGTCGGACTGCGAGCTCTTTCTTCTTTGCTAGGACTTCGGTTTCTCCTAAACGACGGCGGTGGGAGCATCCTGAAACCACTAGGTGACGCATCGGTGTCGGGGGTCTCATCATTGTTTCGCAGCAGGCCACCCTTGAAGTGGCGTGGGGTCATGGGCATCATGCTGTAGTACTGCCCTTGCTGTTGCTGTGATTGAGCCAACATGTGAACATTGGCGGTCTGCGAGTGTTGAGGCTGGTGGGGCACCGTGGTGAAGTTACCGGGGGTGCTTTTGAATAACGAGGCGCCACTGAAGCATAGCATGGCGAAGAGGAGGAAGAATACGGCCTGAATCGGTTACTTTTGATCAGTGGAGGCGGGCATCATATCGTAGTGACTTACCAGAGTCTTCCAATGCATCGTCTCAAAAATCTCATTGATAATCTCGACGATATTCTTGGCCCCAAGCTGGACTCGGCGGACCTTGTCAGGATCTTGGTTCATGCAGGATTCCCACTCCTCACACATGAGATTCATGGCCGGCAATCGCTGCTCTTTGGGCGCGCAGCGGTTCTCGGCGTAGTCCTTGGCGCACTTGGCCATTTCCTCCACGACGCCGGCACGAAGCTCTTGCCTTGCTGCCCAAAAATCGTCTTTGAAGCCGCTGATTATGATCCACATAACCCAGGTAACGATTCCTACAATCACGAGGTTGAAAGCGAGTTGCAGCCAGTAGCCAAGAATGGCGGGCGCATAGGGGTGCTTCTGGATTGTAGACAGGAAGTTGGTGAACCAACCCTTCTTGCCGCGTGCTCGGCTAGTCTTGTTCGGAGACGGATCATTGGGTCGAAATGCGCTGTCGTCCGAGTCCGCGCCCTCGCTTTCGTCCCACTCATCAGCTTGTTTGTAGGGCAAACGATAGCTGCCGATGTCCTTGTCTTCTTGACGCCTCTTCCGCTTGCGCACCTTGTCCCTTGTATTGAACACGACCCTTGGTATCTCCCCCTTGCCCGACGCCTTCTTGCTAAGCAGCGCCCTGTTTCGTGCAGGGGTAATGGCCATCTGGCCAAAGCTGCGCGAGTTCTCCATCTCGGGTGTGTCGGGACAGTCGGACCCGTCGGTCGCGGCTGGACTAGACTCGGCGGCCGAGACTTCGGAGAAGACGTCGTGATCCAAAGGCTTGCGGGGAGTTGTGAAGGCACTGTTGCGGAAGGCAGGGGCGGTGGCCGTTCTTTGAAGTTGCGGGTTGGATGCGAAGGAGCTATGCCCTGGTGTGGCAGATAAAGGTTTATAAGGACTGCTCTGCGTGCGGCTGAATGAGCTTTGGCCAAAGGTGCCTAACTGTGAGCCAAATACGCCGACTGTGTACGAGCAGTCAGAGTTTGCTCAAAGAGCCAGCAACATAGGGTTGGACAGAAACGCAGACGCGGGTCACTCACTATTCTGTTGCGCCTTCCTCGTAGATGTGACAAAGGGACTGGTGGGATCCATAGGACCTTGAGTTTGATATTCCCACTCCATGGGAGATTCGTGTGTACGTTTCTCCATTTTTTCCTGCGCTGGACCCAATTCTGCACTCCAGAGTAGCAAACGAGGAATGACAGCGAGGTTGATGATGGAGTTGGGGTGGTGGAGCGCACAGGCGGTGATGCAGCTGGCACTTTCCAGCTTTTTGAGAGCTTCAATTGCAAAGCCGGGTCAACGCTAAGCCACAGTAAACAATCAAGTACGCCACGCCACCTGCAATCGCGCTCCTTCTCCCGTGCAGTGGATGCTGCTTGGGGGCAAATTCTGGTTCTAGTGGAGGTTGCCGGTGAGGCTGAAATGAGCTTGGGCCGTTTTGCTTGAAGCTTGGGATTTTATCGATTGTTCCAAGGCCAGGGTCCACCGCAACATTTCTTAGGCCAACCAACCACCATCAACTGCACTCCGTCCGATCGTAGCCCTTCCTCTTTCCATTTACGTATCGGCATTAGACAGCAGCCGGGGGTTCACACACCAGGAAGCTTTCTTTGTGCGATCCATTCTTTCGCGAACATCCTGAACTGGACAGCTTGCGTCGTCTCCCACCTGCCTGCGCATTCCTTCAGGCTCCCTCCCTCCATTGGTCATCCTCCCAGAATCTCCCATACGCAATTGCCATGTCGGACATCGACTCAACCGCTGGCTCGCCGCCGCAAACTCTCCACGAGGAGGACGTGAACGACAGACCGAAGGATCTTGGAGACTACGATGTAGCAGCGGCCGATGATTCAGACAAGGACTCGGATGCCCTATCCGAAATCGACGAGGACCAGTTCGATGATTACGACCCTACAGCCGCGCGAATCGAGGAGAAGCCTGTCGAGATTGATGAGGACGTGGCCCGTACACTCAAGGCAGGAAGGCGCAAGGGCCAGGCAGTCAAGAAGCCCAAGGAGGGCAGGCGTGACAAGAAACGCACGCGCGACCGGGACGATGACAATGATGGCGCTGACGGAGAGATTCTGACTGGCAAGAGGGTTCGCAAGTCTGCTCTTGACAGTCGCAAACCCTCGCCCGAGCCAGAGAACGAAGAGAACCTGACCCCCGAGGAGAGACGAAGACGAGCGATCGAGAGAGCATCAAGAAAAGAGACCAAGAAGCCGGGCAAGAGGCGCAATAAAAAGGACGACGTGGTATGTTCGTCTTCCGTCGGATTGTCGAACTTTATACTGACATTATACCCAGGATCTCGAGGAAGAACTCGACGAGCAAATTGCCGATCTGAAGATGCGCATGGAAATGGCTTGCCGAGCCGACAATGGTGCCCGTGAATCCGGCCAGCCCGCCATCCACAAGTTGAAGCTACTTCCCGAAGTCATGGCCCTCTTGAACCGCAACAACCACCAAGCCGCTGTCGTGGACCCTGACGCCAACTTCCTCCAGCACGTCAAATTCTTCCTCGAGCCGCTCAACGACGGCTCCATGCCGGCATACAATATCCAGCGCGACATATTCACAGCACTGAGTCGGCTGCCCATTGAGAAGGAGACGCTGCGCGCGAGTGGCATCGGCAAGGTTGTGCTGTTCTACACCAAGAGCAAGAGGCCCGAGGTGGGTATCAAACGCATGGCTGAGCGACTGTTGGGCGAATGGAGCAGGCCAATCCTCCGCCGGACCGATGACTACAAGAAGCGCCACGTAGAGACGCGTGATTTTGATTACCAGTACGTTACCGTTGCTGCCCTGATCCTTCTTCCAACAACGTGCTAACCTCGAAATAGAGCAGCGAAACTCCGCCAAGCTGCTGGTTCTTCACAACTTACACTCACCCAACGTCCGGCGGCGTCCCAGCAAGACATTGAGCGCGCTCGCATCTTGGCTCCCAAGATTGTCAGCAACCGTGCCCGCGTAGAGGGACTGCCGTCGAGCTACAGTATCGCGCCGAAGAGTACATTCGACCCGACCCGCGGGCCCGATCACCGGCCCATTGGCGCCACCGGCCATGAGGCTTTCCGCAAGATGACCCAGAAGGGAAAGAAGAAGGCTTAGAGACATCATCGCTGATTTTAGGCATTCATCAGTATGGAGGCTGTGGCGTTGGGCGTTTGGTCATTGAGCGTGAAGAGGGGTGGATCTGCCTTCCGGACGCTACGGTGTATGATAGGGAAATCCTCGTACATGACCCAATTCGCGGGGCCTCGAGATGCATTTGGTCATAGCTGGCCCTCAGGAAGAGACAGGTCATGGATTCCGCGAGTATTCTCATTCCGGTTGAGAATCCATGGTCTTCGCCTCATTTCTTTGCGGTGAATTTTAATTGAGAACTTGGGTGCAGCATTGGCAGAATTCCATGTCTTCCATTGTTTCTGCAACCTTTAATATCGAGCTGGGTCCAATTTTCAAACCTAATTTATCAACTGTGTCGGTATAAAAAAAGCGAAGGATCATGGTTCTTGGTTCACCGTCATACGTATATGGTACCCAACCACTTGACGCCTTATTGTGGTGAGACCGGCTGTAGCTGGAGGCATGTCACCTTGCCCACGACTGGACATGGCAGCCAAATTATGGTACCTTGATCGCCTGGACAAACTACCTTCTTGGTTCTTGCCTTGATCTCCTAAACTAACTCCATTATCCTTTCCACAACCGCCCGCCGCTATTTCTTTATTGTCTTATCCTACATGTGAATGAGAAAATAAATTGAAAAAGGAGGGAGAGGGCGGAGCCAAACCTAGTAATACCAGTCTGTTCCATACGACATTTGAGAAATAAGTAGATTACTTCGTCACCATCGTATGTTCTTCTGTTTCCCCCTGATCTGTCCACTTGTTCGTCATCGTCTTCGTACGTAAACAGCGCATTGGCCCACATCTCGTCCTGCTGTTCCACTCCTCTGATGAGCCTAGCTCGACCATTTTACTCATAGATTTCAGCCGCCAGTAGAACTTTTTCCAACCGCGTGAAACCGGCCTGGTCCTCATCACGAGGCGCTGCGAGGTTTTCCTCCCCAGTCACCAGCCCGTTGCGGTCATAAAACGCCATTACAGCTTTCCAGTCCTCGTCAGGATCCAAGACTCCACTCCTGCCCAGAACAATCAACCCAAATTTGGCCCTGGTCAGCGCAACGTTCATTTTGTTGGGCTCTCTGATTATGCTCCAGCCCCTTTCTATGTCCTTCTCGAAGAATTTGGTCTTGGAACGTGGGATGGCACAGCGAGAATCGCAGGGTGTGAACGATAATTTCCGATGAGGTTGGGTAACGGTGGCCGCAATGTCGACAGCATGGATCTGGTCAGCGACGGGGGGACAGTGTTGTTGCTGCCTCGGGTGAGGGATTGCTTCGAGCAGACAGGGCGGGAAGAAAAGGCGACTAAAGAGGGATGTCTGCAACGGTGCATGCGGAAGTGACATTCACAATCCAAGTTGATGCTTATCTCCAGCTATGATGAAGCTCTAAATACGCACTCGTCGGCTTCGATGAGCGGTGCCACGACATAAATTGGTATGAGAGCTTCTGGCTCCAACGCTTGCCGAGATCTGGGGGATTAATACGTGGTTATGGATGCAATAATAAGCCAGAGGAGAAGCCGGTACTTCAGCAAAGGTTCGAGATGGCCGGTTCAACCTTGAAGCTCATGGGGGGTGCGGTGACTTCTCAGTTGCTCGGCCAAGGTATCAGCAGCCAAGTCTGACGGTGCACAGATGAGTATATGCGAGACGTATTCCACGTTTTACACAAGCTGCAAAGCTATCTTGATGAGAGTTCTGGTCTTTTCCGTGCCCGGCGGCCCCAATACGAGGTACGATAGGGCACAATAGTCCTGCAAACAGATGCTTTCTACGGCTTTCTTCTGCTCCCAGTTCAATTTTTGGTCAAAGAACTGCCGACGGAAGATTTCAGGGTTGAGCAGGAACTGTTCCTCACAATCTATCGCCATTGGCAAAAACATAGACTGGATCCAGTCGTGGTTCACAGCATACGGCTGGGCGGCCCTTCTGTCGTGGGCGTGGGCCGCCTCCAGGGCTGCGTATTGCAGATCTCGGCTAGTGATGAGTACAGCCTGCTGCATGGGGGCAAACCGCTCCATTAGCACTGGGAATTGGATATTGAATCTCCGTTGCAACTCGACAAGAAGGTCGCGCAGTTGAATTTGGTCCCAAGATTTCAGGTCCACATTGTTGGCGGTGAGTCCACGTACCAGAACGAGCAGTGTCTATATCGCTTCAAGACGCTGATGACATGAACTTTGAATATGTGACCAGTCCAAGGGCGACGGGGGATGCCAACGTCTGGCTTGCTTGTGCCAAGCAATGATCTGAAGCGATCATAACTAAGTAGACGGAGCCGGACGGCGTCGTCTTCCCGCGACGAAAGGCGAGTTCTTCCTCAATCCTGGGACTGAAAAGTACATAGCGATGACTGGTCATACAAGTTGATGCTGACTGGATGGCCGAACAGGGCCACTGACTCGTTCTCGCTGTGCTGCAACGATATTTCATCCTGCAGGAGGCTTGCGAAATACTCGGTATAGGTATCTTGACGTGGAACATCTGAGGGGAGAACTGGAGGGTATCTGTTATTTGTGGAAGGCAGATAGGTGGGTATAGAGCTTGGAATTAGGGATGCGTGTGCAAACTGGGAGAGGTCATTGATCAGTCGTGCTGGGGCAGTGTTGAAGACGGGGCCAGGCATCAAATTGATTTTGATCAAGGCCAATGGAATGAAGGGACAGGCTGGACTGGCTGGATAGGGGGTCCGACTTCGGGCTTGGATATGAGGGAGGATTTGGTCGAATGCAGGCGAAGGCAGAAGTGGGCTTCTGATTGCTAGCGGGAAGAGACGTCCGTTGCTGTATGTCCAGTTTTGTTCGTTGTTAACTTTGCTTTTGCTTTTTCTGTCCCGAATCTGATAGAGACGGTGCAGCCAGTGCGACAGGCTGAGCTTCAACTGGTCGGACCGAACGAAGTGAGCTTCGCGATTTCGAGTTCACGATTGGCTACCGCTTTGAAGCTTTTAGGCGCTGAAATAATGGCATCTCCTGCGCCGGTACCATAATTCCTGACGGCATACTGTGAATATCAGATGGCCTTGTCAAAATAGTCAGCAGCGATGAGCGTTATTGACTGGGTTCGTTTCGAGTGGCGGGAATCGCGCTCTATACGATTTGGTATGTTCATAGCTTGCTAGATCTGCTCATACAGACATAGAAAAACAGAACAAAATACTCAGATTCTCCGACTCATATAATAGCTGCTACCGCTGGTGCCGACAATTGCGGTGAAACTATGCTTTTAAATGCGCAGGTGAGAGGCAAATAATGAGATCTGGAATGGTGGGCAGGTTCCAATACAACTCTCAGGCAGCGTGCCACTGCAGAGGTGCTGCCAGCTTGTGTGCTAGGATGTTCAAACCTAACTTAGAACCCAAACCCCGCTTATGAGCCAATATATAAAGGAAACGGCCACTGTATCGTCTGTTTCGTAATATCTCCATGGTTGGCCAAATTTCAATTGGATGATGAAAGTAAAAACAGTATGGTTCCCTTGAGATCTGCCCTGAAAGCGTAGCGATGCGTCAGTACAGGCCTCTGGTAGCACTGTGCACTACCGCAAGAACTGCCCAGGCGAGCAGTGTGAAGTGTTCACTACACCCATGGTAATGAGTGATATGATAGCGTTTCATGTATTGTGGCAGTCATTACCGACATCTGCCGTGGTGTCCCGCTGTTCTATAGCCTGGTTGGACTTGATATGAGGTGTTTCAGATGGTCAGATCGCATACCAGCTTCCTGCTACTTGGATGATAGTAACGACTTTGCACTGGGAAGTCTGGTAGGAAGTCTTGTATAAGACTCCCTCTTTTCCCAAACCATGGAAGTCATCCTGCTGATACCATCTAGTGTCCTGTACTTCCACCCATTCATGCCATGAAAGCCATAAATCTACTTTAGTAGTGGCCTCAGAATCTCAACTATGTCCTCCTCCAAAATGCCCTTGATGCCCAGCAGATCATTATCCGTCTTCTCGAACTTGCCACCACAAGCAGGATCCATGATGGCTCGGAAGAGACAGGGTGCTAAAGTCTCTATGTCCAGCAGCCCTGTGCCAGTCTGGCATACACCTTAGCCACCATATCGTCAAGCTTGGCAGTGACTGGCGCCCATGGCTTGGAGGGGGCCACCTTTTGGCCAGGTCCAGTAACTTGCTCTGCGAGACGACAATATCGTGCCGCAAATGGTGCGGTTTTTGGTCTCATCTCGGTCGTTCAAGATGCTCACCACGGCGTCGGTCACTCTGGACAAAGCGGTGACGCTGAATAGCTGATCTCCGCCATTGATAAGGTTAGGCTCATACTAAGACAGATCAAGCAGAAAGTTGTACTTGAGACCCCAGTCCAAGAAGGCGCCGTTGTACACCATAGTGTAGTTGAGCTGGGAAGATAAGCTGGACTTGACCTTGGGCCCGTAGACGGGCAGCAGATCTTGGGGTTGTGGGGAGCAGAGCTGAGTTGATACGGGATGATACGCTTCACGCCAGCGACTTCGGCGGCGTCTACCAGGGCGATCTGTTCTTAGACAGCCAGTGTAGTCACGGTGGGACACGATAGCGGCTTCCCTTCAGAGCCGAGATCAAAGAGGTCCTGGAGGCACCGTGATTTTGGTGCCAGACAGGAACGTGGTCTGGGAGCCTTGGCGCCTGATGACGGTGATGTTGAACTTGACTGAGTTGACAGCTTACCAGGGAGCACAGAGCCCAGGGTGCCAGAAGCGCCTGCAATAGCGACATTCTTGATGGCAGTGGCCATGGTGCTCGGTGGAGGATGCGCTATAGACGTGGTGTTTTCTTGGAGGAACAGGTGAAGGTGGGACGGCCCAGATGGAACGGGAAGAAGTTGACTGTGGCGGAGAGACGTGCTATTGTGAACTTGACTGGAAGTGAAGATGTCGAAGAATGTTTGCAGAGACCTGTGTTCATGCTGAAGTGAGAAATCACTGCCGACTTCATATCTCAAGAAAGGTTCAGGTGCAAACCATGTTAGATGGAGCTGAGAAAGCCTCAGGGATGTACCTGAAAACCGGCATTTGATTTGTCTGCTGTAGGGCTGGCATTTACCAGGGTTACCTCGGACTTGATAACTGCAAAGCTGCGTCTCAACTCATTTCGCTTTGCGCCCAGGATCCCCATTCCCAGGCTTGGAGTAAGTTGACAGGATATAGTGACACCTGTTGAGGTTCCCAGGGGAGGGATCTCGGGCCGAGTGGGATGTCTCAGTACATGTGGAATGGTAAATAAAGTGATGTTGGTAATCCGTCCAGGCAGGGGGGTGCGTTGTGCCATTTGATTCGTTCTAGGGGTTGGCCAGCAGGACCCACTGTCGGATCTCCAACTCGCCGTAGCCACACCAAGAACCTCATCGTGTACAGTCGGATGCGCGCCATTGAAATCAATCCCACAACGACTTGTTGACGTCTTTGCAATCATAGCAAGCCTTAACATTCTGCCCACTTGCTGGCCGAGCTGTCGGCACTCGGGGTCCTCGGGCTCCAGGACACTGACACGCAACAATGTCAGCAGACGATGACCAATGTAAGTAACATGATGCGGCCCTATATCATACTGGGATCCTAAATCAGGTTCACTGCCGGCAGTCTCCACGGCCCCAGGTGGAACTGGCACAACCCCTGCACAACATGTGTGTCACTGTGGGAAAGCTTTCATACGCAAAGAACATTTGCGGCGGCACCAGGCTACGCATCAGAAACCCTCGTATACTTGCCACGTCTGCCACCGCTCCTTTACTCGCAGGTAGGGCTGGGGCGACGAACCCACGGACTATGGCCTTCGTCAGTGAGTCACTGACATGAATCCCAGTGATCTGCTTCGACGCCACGCCAACCTACACGTCGCGACAACGGCCCCAGCCAGCCGCAGGGCAAGAGCTTGCGATGAGTGCCACAGATCCAAGCTCAAGTGCAGCGGAGGTCCGCAGTGCTCACTGTGTGGGAAACGTGGAGTCAATTGCACCTTTGGCGACACCGCCGGAAGCTCCAGCAATGCATCCACTGTCGGTGCCGGAGGCGCAACCGCCGCGCCGTTAGGTGCGACGACTCGAGGAGGCAAAGATGAACTGCACGCCCAGATTACCACCGACTTTTTACGGTCTTTGACTATCCAGACTGCACCTGCCTCTCGAGATGCGGACGACAGCCGTCTACTCGTCTCAGACGAGACATCTCTACATTGGCACTACGGCAATGACGGGTTGGAGGAATCGTTCCGTCGCATCGTGACCAGGAGCCCTGCATCTCTCGAGGCAGATCTCAAGGCATCGGATGAATTGAAGTACTGGGTCTCCAGTTGTTCCACGTTGTATTTTGAACGTTTCCATCCACATTGGCTGATCCTACACGCTCCCTCCTTTGACATAGAGACAGAGTCTCTTGCCGTTTCCGCATCCATAGTCATGATCGCTTCCTGGCTGGAGGGGTCGGAAGACTCCATGGACCTTGCTCTGGCAACTCACAACCTCCTGGTAGATCGGTTCTTTGTGGAAATGGTATGTTCCTGTGTCCGTTGGCTCTGCTATCAAGTATCAATTGACTCTGACCTATGACGTACAGTCCAATCCAGGAGCGAATGTCCGGGGAAAGGCCTGGCCAATTAAGCTCTACGAAGCAGTTCTCCTCAATGTCATCTTCGGACTCTACGCTGGGGTTGGTGATTATCTCACCCGGGCTCCACGGCTGAGTGACTGACGACTGTCCAGAAAGAGGAAACTCTAACAAGAGTGGTTCTTCTCCATAGCTTGTTCGTCTCCCTACTGCGGCGGGTGGGAATGTTCAGCTCCAAATCTGCGGCATACCAACAAAACACCCATTTCCCTGGCACGTTTCTACCGTATGTCCAGAAGACACAGCAGGAATGGAACAGGTGCGTTGCTGGTCTTCAAATGGAACAGGGTGGGTCTCATTAACATGACACTCGCCAGGTTGTGTTTCTATCTGTTCAAGGCTGACACCTACCTCACCATCTTATGTAACCAGCCACTCAACGTTCAGCCCGAAGAGCTTGACATTGGGTTACCGTGCTCCTTCGCGCTAGCAAACGCTTACGGCCTTGATATCTTCTACAAGCGTTACCCCGAGGATACGGCGGGGCGTGCCGAGCACAAGTTGTCTAGCATGCTCCACAACTCGCCTCATTCTATGACTACGATGCTCCTCGTTGAAGACATCCACATTGGTCTTTGTGGAATGTCCCAAAGGGTCTGGAATGTTGTTCAACTACGCCACATTGACATGATAGTCGCACAGCCGGCTGGTAGTGCCCGAGATTCAATTTTAGACACGCTGAATGTATGGAAACTTCACTTGGACCGCATCTCCGGACAACTCACTGCGCAGAGCCGGAGCCCAGACTTTAAGATCAAGGACTTCCCGCTACGCGCATACCGTAAAGACGAGGACGAAAGTCAGCCGGCATGGCGAACGGCGGCCCTCGCACGAGCGTCGTCTTTCATCTTTGGAGCGACGCTTGTCTTTCACCTCCTTAGTTTGCGGCTGTACGCTGATCCTCACATACTATCCCAGGATTCAGATCAGAATGCCATGCCTGATCCTGCTGGGACAATAGGGCACAGCAAGCAAGTACGCGATTGGAGAGCCTCGAAAGATGGGAGACAGGCGGTTTCGCACGCTGTGGCGGTCTTAAAGGCACTCGAGACGGCTGACACAGCCAATCCTGACCTCTTGGATCCCGTCGGGCGGGTGGCCGTTTCGACGAGTATTGATGTCTTGAAAGTGTGGGTTTTGAGTGGTGAAGAGGCGTGTAACTGTACTTTAGAGACTAGCCGTATTGACGTCGGACGCAACCCGGCGGTGGGTCAGAGGTGGGTTGAGTTGGGTGGCAAGGTTATTGTGGATGGCATTGCGCTTTGTACCTGCAGCTTGGACATTCTACTGGAGCGGTTTGATCTTGCTGCAAGTGGTGCATAGCGGCGCATATGGTTTGGCAACTTCTTGAAGGTTTAATAGGGAGGACCGTAAGTACTGGTAACATAAATTTGGTAGATTACGAGCTAGATAAACCAGCGATACTCTGCGTAATCAGCATTCCAACAAACCTTGGTGTTTACTCAAGTCAAATCGAGGTAGCCCCAGGCTCGTGGTATGCTCCGAGACGCCGTCGCTTTTGGATAACTGAGATTTATATATCAAGGCCAAAAAAGGATGTTTTTTTTTCTTCTTCTATGATGGTTACTTCTGGTTTGAAGCGGGGTTTTGTAGCCCTACGCTTGGCCGTACCTTCCCATCTAACTGATATCATCTGGCTAACGAAAGCCGAGAGTTGGTATCCAATAGCAATTGACAACCTGCAATAGGTTAAGTAATCCATGGCTCTGCAGTGACATGAACTTTGTTTGAACCTCGGCGTATATTCCAACTTAGTAATTATCAGTGAATTTGATATTTGTTATTCTAGTGTTGACTGAGGCCAGACGGGAATGTGCTCATGCTGTGAGTGAGAGATTTCTCGCGTGCCTGGCTCTCCGAACGCAATTGTGTTTAGAAGCTGCAGAGAACCACTGCTACTGGAAACGGAAGCTTACTGCAGCGACAGTCTGCTCTTCGAACAATGATCTAGCGGATATTTTTAGGCTTTTTATTGACAAATAAAGAAATACCACTATGCTCCATCTTGAGATCTGCCAGCCGACTGTCAATGAGAAGCCTAAGTGCAATAGGTGGAGAATAAACTTGTATGCCCCAAATTCCTCCTATAGATAGTATAAAAGCCTAGCAAAACTCTGAAGCAACGAGCCAAGGAAATAATTAAGAGATGGTGAGAGACGGTAGCGGGGCCACTGAGACGTATAGACAACTCGGCGTCAAGATAAGGCCCGGCTGCCCCACCTTAAGAGTGATATTTGGACATAGAGGCTTCAACTGGTACCACAAAAGTTTCCATTACAACGACACTCTTATAGGGTGCTCGTGCGGCCGGATAATAAGCGTAATACATGGTCTTCTGCCGGAGGCCCCGGGTCCTGTCACGCACACCGCTGGAGTATAATGAAAGTGGAGTAAGCGAGATCAAATGTTGGAGACTCCTATCCCCTGAAAGCGACGCGAACCCGCCCGATAGCCACCGACGACCAGCATCCGGATCCCTAAACACGCTACTGCTATGGGTGGGTTGCCAGGTGATCTATGAACAATCACATGCAAACAAGACCAGATTGGGTAGAATTGCTAAGATGCTCTGTATCTACGCAAGATTGAACGCCGACAGAGTATGAAATCGTAAGTGTAATGAGCATATCTATCTAAGCATTGGGAAAGTGAGAGGAAGCCTATAATTTTAGGATACAGTAGCGGCGGACCCCACCCCGCTGCGTCATGCAGCAGGGGATCCAGGTCCTGTCGAAGTTCTCAGACGTTGTTTCCATCTCTTGTGGAACATTTATAGCCCAGCACTGAAATCCACGTCTCTATCCTCGTTCTTCCATCGTAAATGTCATCTATCAATCAGATCCTATTGGTCTATCGTCTTCACCCCAAACATCTGATACTATTGTCAAATTTCAAGCTCGACACAAATCGTTTGCTGCAGCAGGGCAGCGAAAAGTGAGTGAGGAGTTCCCAACCACCCCTTTTCACCCCAGATGTGTCCAGTGGTCTCGACTTAAGAATCGAAGATGGCGCCGTACGCGGGAACACCCCGAGTCTGCATGCCAAAGACGACCTTCTCTGTGACCTTTGGGTTCGAGATGATGAAGACAGCCTCGGCATTGGACTCGTGGACTAGCTGGTACGTCTCCTCGACGATGTTGGGGTACCCCCTCTCGGTGGTATCCCAAATGACGGCATTGGGGTCCGCTCTCTGCACCTCGGACACAACCTTGGGACCGTAGGTTTGGAGTGGCTTCCTAGCGCTCCAGAGCACACGACGGGGTGTGACGTCGGCAAAGAGCAGGGAGAGACAAGGGCCGATTCCGGAGCCGGTGGCAACGACAACAATACTCTTGAAGAGGCGCGAAGTGTAGAGCAGACCATGGAGAGGGGCGCCACGAACCCACAGCTTGCGCTCGTTGGGAGACATGATTTGCTTCTTGGTCCAGTCGCCGGCGTTGCTGACGACGACGCTGAAGCCGTTGATCTTGCCGGACTCGGGGTCGATGTCGGGGATGGTAGCGAATGCATGCCATTCCGTCATGGGCTTGTCGCTGAGCTTGAGTCCGTAGAAGGGGGCCATGCCGCGGTACTTGAAATGCAAACGGGTGGCGTGGTCCGACAACTTCTCGGGGTAGACAACACGGTGGCGGAGACGTGACCAGGAGGCCAGGTTGCAGAACGTCGTGATGCAGATGAACCAGAAGTTGGGCGAGCGAACCAAAACATAGCCCAGGGTGGACTCCCATTGCCGTGCCGTGATGCGTCCCGAGAAGATGTTGTGAATCCAAAACGTCACCAACGCCGTCCAGCCCGAGAAACGGTGGAAAGCCTCGAAGTGGTCGTGGAACTTGCGGCGAATGTCGGGGTGGGCCGATGTCAAGATGACGAGGAACATGAAGACCAGGATCCAGCTCGTGATCATGTTGACGAGAGTGTCCTTCTGCCGATCTGCCACATACTCTTTAGTGGCCAGCACTGTGTACAGAAGGTACCAGACCACGGCTGCCGTGCCTGCACCGCTGTGGCAGCCGCCGTAGTGGAAAACCTTCGCCAAACGCTTGCGGATGCTGAGGGGCCACGAGTGCGGGACGCAGGTGAACAACTCATACCACGCGTTGACCCATTCTTCCTGTCGGAACAGGATCGACACCATCAGGTTGGCCGACGCCGCATTACCCACAGTGCGGGACTCAGGGGAACCCCTTGCGTCTATCAAGAAGGCGAGGAACACCGACAGGTTGGCCGTAAAGATGAACCCAAAAATTTTGCGGTACGAAGATGCGTACTTGTCTGTTGTCTCTCGTCAGTTTCACGATGCAATATATACAATATAGACAGGTTGGTCTAGACTTACGACGAACCTTGCGGCTAAGCTCACTTCCCAGCTGATCGGGAAGAACGGCCTTCTCGGGCACCGCCTCGGAGGGTTGTTCTATCTTTTCCTCAGACACCTTTCCGGCGGACCGTGTCGAGGCGTTGGATGATCCCGCCACCGTCGTCGTACTTGGCTCGTACGGCTGACGAAACACTTCATGGCTGCTTCGAGAAAAGCCAGCCGAGTTGACCTTTTCCATCGAGTCAGACATCATGGACCGGGGATCTCAAGATAAGAGGATGGTGGTGATGGTGGTGGTGGTGGCCAAAATGGCGAAGAATAATACCGAAGTGAGAATTTCCTGGGCTTGTCTGAGTCTGCCTGAGCTTGGTTGATGTAAAAGACTTGTAGACGGCATTGAAGACCACTTAAGTAGTTGTCGACAGCACCATCGTCTCCCTTGGGCACGAGTACTGGCGCTCTACCCAGCTGCTGGTACGAGTAGGTCACACTGTCGATCCGCAGCATCTTCTCTTCATGTTGACTCTTATCTTCAAGATCGTCATCGGGCAGGAGACGGTTTCATCGCGAGGAGAACAGATGCACACTACACAGCGCGGAAGTGCTACCAAGTTGTCAAGTCGTGATTCTTGGGTGTGCCAGCTTATCATCTACCTACCGTTAATCTGGGGTGGAGTGTATAGGCCAGATATGCAGGTATGAACGCTGCTGCAACGGACATGGCGCGATATCTTGCATCATGGAAGACTTCTTTGAGTAGTAGGCTCTGTCTTGGCCTATTCGAGCTGTTGAGACTAGGAGAAGAGAAAAAGGCGCAGATCAACCCACATCCTGCATGGTATAATCTGCAACGCAAAATGATAAGAGCCCCTGGAAAACAGTCTGCCCCTGGACAGTATTGAGATATCTGCACGCTACGTCGGTTGTTGGTTTATGGCCGATAGAGCGAGGCGAGTTTGATAACATGCTTGTCTCTGGTTTCGAGGTCATGTTCTGACGTACCTAAGTGCTTGTCGACGCAACTCTGCATCGCTTCCACCGGGTTTGGCCAAGATCATACATGTGATGCATATTGCTATGAAAAAGGAAAATACAGTAACATACCTCATACCCAATTAAAAAATCACCTCTTTGTAAAACACATGGCAAAGTACATCGACGTTCGTTTCCCTCGACCTAATGGATGGTGCTGTTCTACGGAATGGTACCTTCCCAGAAGAAGAATATTCGTGGCAATGCTCCCAGACTCGTCGGTGTTCTACGATTGGTTACCTTATACACGCCTCGGGAGGAGCGCTCTTCTGCATTGCAATCATCGAACAGGCCGCACACATCGTGAATTGTTCGAGACACAATATAATAGACGTGGCGACATATCACACACGAGTGCAAGCAGCTAGCTATACTATAAATAAGTGAGTACAAATTCTGAACGAACGAAAACCAAACTCCAAAGCATGCTGCCAGCGAGAACAAGTTCTGTATCACATGTCGAAAATCACTTCCAATCAGCCAGTATCAATTATTTAGATTGATTATTCGTCTTGCTTCCACCACTTCTCCATGTTATCGCATCAACAGAGTTGCCAGCTGCCAGAATAGTTTGGAACGCATACAAGTTGCCAATTCCGGAGCTTGGCCCGGATGTGAGGTTGCTTTTAACTCGGGCACAGCGCAGATCATGAATGCGGGCTTGTTGACGTGCTGCGTGCTGCGCGCTAGTGGTCGGGCCATTCGGTACTCTCGGCACTTCGAGCCCTAGAAACTAGATAGGAAAATATCCCGAGCTGCACTGATTGTCATGCATGAGCTATCAGATTGCCATACATGAAGCATCGCATCACGGTTGTCGTGTACAACTTTGGAAGTTGGCCCCCACACGAAAAGCTATTATCTTTTCCATCTGTCTGAGGCTCGTGGATGAGCGAGTAGATAATGCGGCAAGTACATACACATGCAGTGTCCCACTACAATACACTCGTGCACTCGCTGGTTGGCGTACGCTCTTGTTGTTGCGTGGTCCACGATTGACCAGCTACCTTCTATTTTGGGATGCCTGACTGTCACCTGCTCTATACATCAACGTCCCGACCGACATGCAGGTTCCCTCCCACTCCTAAAGCAATGCAGAAAAAATGCCTGTCATGAGTGCTACCTGACCACGCTAGACATCGAAGCAACGATGACGTCTATCCACGCCCGCGCGATTTGGAATAGTAGGCATTGGGTCGCGTCGTCGTCTGTTTCTGGCCTTCGAACGACCACTCTTCTAAGCTATGGCGCAGACAGATGTCAAGCAGAAGAAGAATCCCACAATAGAATCCCTGCCTCGATCGCTTGGTAATGATAAGTCTCAAATATAGGCGACTGGTCAGATATTGCCGGACAAGAATTGCCGGTTCAGGGTATACTAGACAGGGTTGCTGTGTGTTGCAGTGCGGACGCTAGGCTACGTCATGCCTTCTCTATTCCATTTCTTTCATTTGTGAGGTGTGAACTGGGCGAGGATGGATATCTTCCTTCACATGTTAGTACATCCAGGTTTAGAAGTCTGCGGTGCGCTGTAAGTGGTTTGCCCATCATACAGCTGTCTTACGATTCAATTTAGCACTATAGCACTCAACAGTGCCGAGCTTCGAGGCAACGTAGGGGGTTTGCAGTCTGCTCTCGGTGTCTTGGTGCGACGGAAAAGACACCAAAGCGTCGCGTTATCTCTGGCCCGGTTCCAAGGACTACTCGCGTTGTTGAAACTCGGAACTGCTGTCTTAAAATGGCGCGTCGAACCAGACGCCTAGTGTAAAATCCTATAGCAGCTGCTTAATTATGTACTGGAAAGCTTTGGGGAAATGAAAAATGAATCATCCAGAGAAATCCTATTGCTGCAGTCACTTCATGACCATCAATCTGCTCATTTCAAGGCAAAATTAGCGGCAGTATCCATCTTTAATGCCTTTCAATCTGTCGCTGCAGTTGATGACTCCCCTGATTGACCCACTGGAGTGACGAACTTCGTCAATTCTATGTGCTGACGTTGAGCACTACACCCTCTCCAAACACTTTACGCAAGGGACCGTAACGTAGATCAGCATCTTATTCCTCCAGCACGTCATTCATTGAATTCTGTCCCGGTCGTGAAGAAAGCCACTGTCGTGGTGTGGGTGGTACCTTGCGTCCAGGGAAACTGTCGCATTCCGCTGAGCCTCACTCACGAGAAGTGGGGGACCATTGGAGATGTGAAAGGGTTGCAGATGTTTCGTGGGCGTTTGTTAGAGGCATGGTGAGGTGATTCGCCAAACGCGGCGCCTCTGAGACCGTGGATGTGATGGGCAGATGGGGTAGGACAGGTGACGGGACAACATCCCACAACATCCCGGAAGCGAGGGGTGACTCTAGATCGATGCCTCACATACTTGAGAATCCTACAAGACCAAACAATGCACCAGCTACGTCAAGGAACCATTGTCGCCGATTGTCGCGATGCGAAGGTTTGAATCATCAACTGGTATAACCATTTTGTTGGACTTGGCGCTTTGCACTGTTGGTGATCCACGAGGCCATAGGATCGTCATCTTCATTGATGGAATTTATGCACCTAACTCATAGTTATGGGAGTCAGATTGCAGTTCCTGTCAAAAGATAAAACCAAGTGGACATCATGCTGGCTTACTTGCCACTGACCCCTGAATTTACATTAACCCCCTACTGATACTGCCCATTTTCATGCCGAGCAAGCAATACCTAGCTATATGTTTACAAAAGATGGCATGAAATGGCCTTTAATCCATTCATCCGGGCCACGTCGGGGTCTGGATAAAACCGTCTCGGAGACCAATCATAAGGGCTACGATGAATACTCAAGTCGACCTTCTAGTGTCGGTCATAAGGGAACCTTCCGATAGTCTTTGTATCGTAGCAGGTCGATCAAATCCCCCATCTACCTTGATTATCACATTAGTCGACTTGCCATCTCTGGCATGTTATGGACCACCACGGACGCTAGGCGATCCTGTACGCACAACTCGGCAGTGCTAGAAAGCGGCGATCGGCTACTACTTCAGGCCCTTATTAAGATGGTGTCGCCGCCGAAGGCTTTCCCCGGATTGAATCATGGTCTCTTTGAATATGCTCAGTATTTCATTGCTCCTACCGTCCGTTTTGGCTGGCGAATCACTATACCGATTGATGGATAAGTATCGGTGCCCGCTCTTCCAGAATGCACTCTAGGCACCGAACACCCGTCATTACTGGCTTGTTTCCTAATGTCTAATATATAGCGGCCGAACATCGTCTTGTACTTAAGAGTATATGGCGACGAAATGACCATCGTTGCCTTCACTTCACCATCGCGGAGTTCATTCGCCAGAGTATACCATCCAGCGAAGATGTGTGAGCTCTATTTAAACTGCGATACTTGGAATGCTACTATGGCATGGAATCGCTGTACGACGTACCTGCTTAAATGGTATTTAGAGAAAGTTCACCACCCGCCCCTGAATCAGTGGACCAGCACCATAGGGTCTACATATACTTCGCATTTCTTGTCATTATGGTTTGCCATGCTGCTTATTTATGGCCTTGGCTGAGACTAAAACATCAATTATTCTGTGAGACCCGGGCTGGGGTCTAATGGAACTGATCAGATACGGATGTCGGACTTCTATGATGTTCGCGCAGTACAGTGGTTCCGCCCCCACAGCCTGCAGTCTGCGAACACATTTCAGCCGCCTCGTTGAGGAATTTATTTCCAATAATATGATGTTTGGATTGAGATCTTGAAGTTGACAGGTCAATCTCATCAGCAGTTCTGAATGACTCCCCCGCTTCAAACCGTTGGCAATTATATATTTCTTCGCGAGCATGGCATCACAACAGTGGCGACGAAGCCGACATTCCTTAAACTAGGATTACAAGTAAACTCGCCTATTTCTTACTCGTATCAGATGCATTAAAACAACTCTAGACTGAGGTATATGGTCGATTAGTTGGGTATATATACATTTCTTCTCGCTACTTACCTCATTTATCCCCCATCATTGTACATGCCATATGTATCTGAAGCCAGACTATGAAAGACCCTTGCAAGTCTGGAACACATCTTGACGGCCTTGTTTTTATATTCATTTGCTTGAACCACGAGCTCGTGCTCACTTACCTCGGATGAGTAAGCTGTCCAAGCAGTAGGTCCACCTAGAATGAACAACATCGCAGCCCCACAGCTCTATCGATAACTCACGGAAGACTATTTAGGTAGAGCAGTTGCTTCAAAAGCGCAACAGCGTTGGCATGATGCTCCAGAAAAATGAAGAGTTTCCAGGCTTTACGGGAGTTTCATATTTCCAAAGACGTCGTTTCTGCTGAGCCAGCTATGAAGGATTGGCGATTGTGCCAGAACCCATAATGTAGGAAGGTTTTGACAAGAGCTCGAATTCATGATGGCTGCCGACAGAAGCGGGATCGATGGACCACATACTTGGGTGCCTCGTGTCCACAAAGTGCCCAGTCGATCAGTTCCATATTCCATCAAATGCAGCCAGACCTTCCATTCCGATTGCTTTCTTGTTCCAGTAGGCCCTCGCAAGACCTCACAGACGGTTCTGTGACACCATGCATGGCGGGTTTCAAACGAGCCGGCTTCAGAGACAACAGTACCGAACCGAGTAATCCAATCACCAGGACTACTTCGTTGGCGCACCATCCAGGCTGCGTCGTGATTGAAGAAGCTGGCAACTTGATGGAGCAAAAGCGGTCATAGACTCAAGGATACTGTGCACGCCAGGGATGGATTCGAGAGGATGGAAAAGCGACATGCAAGGAGTAGAAGACGTTTTATCTTCTAAGAGAAAAATGGTAATTGTACCCATTCTTAACTGACAATATGCTTTGTAGACCGGGTTCTACCAGCCAATTACAGTCCGCATGGGCATGGATAGGGGGAGCCCTAAAGCGGGGCTGCCAAGCTCCGCTACTAGCCCCGCTATCTCATTTATTCCCAGTGTACCATCACGGAGACATTGCAGTACATAGCAATAAAGCGTCGAAACTTGACAGGATGTGATGACTAATTACTCCAGTACTGTAGGACGGTGGGAAGAAAAGCACCCAGAAGATAAAACGAGGAAAAACAAAATGCGCATCCGGACTCTACAACCGATGGGTTCGGAGGTGCTTGTTACGACATCTCCCGGCTTGATCCTGAATGGGCGTCGCTTCACTCGATGATATCAATGGTGTGAGAGGTTAGACATGTGATGTGAGCTGGTTTGTAAGGTAGGAAGTGAATATCTGAAACATGTAACTTTGGCGGGAAACGGTGTCGTGATATAACTGTGTTTTGTCGCGCCGGAGCGTCCCAAGATAAGATCCCTTCGGAGGTCTGTGTCGGCGCACGTGGGAGTAGTTATTTTCTTCGGATTGCCTGATTTGACAAGACCGATAGCCAAAGTAGCCTAGGTTAGTAGGTACGCAGCAATCTACAGGTGGATTATGTCAAAGTAGCTCCTCCTGCTCTTCATAGTGAACCGGGGGACCAAAGCTCGTGGGCGGGCTATACTAGTACATGCAAGTCAGCTGCGTTGTGAACTTAGCATGCCGTCGGCGCCGTCTTCCTCCCAGAATGTCTTAGGGCTGTACTCCAGTCAGATGCTGTCCAGCTGTGTGACGAGTTTCCTGTACGACTCGTGAGGTCATCATCAATCACCACATGAGATAGCGAGAGCGTCTCCACCAATATGTGTTGTTTCCCAAGAACCCGCATTGGGATAAGAACGGAGCAGCGGAATGCTTAAACACCCGATGCCTGGAAGTGATAACAGGAATCCCCAACGTCGACGTTGGAGAATTGGACGTTGGGGGATCAGAAATTGTCGGGAGGTAGATTCATTTATATGTTGGGGTCAAGCATAACTCGAGTTGCGCTGCACCAATCTGCAGATCGAAGGAGCAATCGCGTTCGGCTGTCTCACTCCCCTCACTACTGATGGCAATCAGGCAATCAGTTGTATCCCACGCCAGCCCACTTCACAGTTTCCTGGAAACTCTCACCAGTCAGCCATTCGGTCACATTCTCCTTGTTGGCATCTGGCATTTGGCATTTTGCATTTCGCCCAATTTATTTCTCATGTGTATAGCTAGCCTGCCAAGCGCCATAGACCGTTGAGTTTCCAATCTTGCGCCATTTCGCGCCCCCGCCGCAATATTACTCGACGCGCATTTGCAGAGTTCCTGGATGCGGATCTGGTTTTCGTGCCCATGACGTTGGTAACGATCGGCTGCCCCTCAAACCTGCAAAACATCTTCTGAGAGCTTTCTGTCTCTCTCAGCCTCCCGATTCCTCCGCCAGTCCCATCAACACGTGCAATTGCAACACGATTGTTATTGTTATTGCCATCCGCTACGTGAAAAGTTTGGTCCAAACTTGCCTTAGTTCTGGTTATTTTCGGTGCGGCTCTCGCGATTACCAACCTCTATGAGCACGACCCTCGCTAACACCAGAGCTGGCAGAGCGACGTGAGAGCAGTACTTGTGCAGCGACAACAACTGTACTCGGCTTTTCCTCACACAGAGCCAAGAGAGAACGACTCTTCCTATTTTCAACCTCGTCGCATTGCATCGGATCGCATAGATTTGGACGACACTCGCACCTTGCCCCACACCTCTAGTTGCGATTTACACCCCTTTCCCGGTCGCAATCCAGAGCCACATGGGCTTTTCGCACACCATGAACGGCACACAGAAGGACGCAGCCGCAACCGTGGCGCCAGCTTCGATGACGAACGCAGACATAAGAGCACCAGCAGTAACAGCATCTCCTCCACCTGAAGAGCCTCCCCTGATGGCGGGAGCGAATGGCAGCTCATTAACCAAGAAGCGGAAGAAGGAAGGCCTGAAGCCCATCATCACAAGAGAAGGACCAGCACCGGGGTAAGCCATGATTTCCTTTCAATGTGTGGTGCCACTGCATTGCCTTCCCTTTGCTCATCTGCCTCCGCCTCTGCCTCTGCCTCTGTCAGCGCAAGCAGCAAAGACATGCACATGTTGGTACAAGCTGGCTGCAATCTGCAGCCCGAACCGTCTAGACTCCGAGGTGTCATGGCTATCATCGATGCGGGGCTGGGCTGGGCTGGTCGAATCCCGGGGCTCTGGACCATCAATCAAGCAAGCAACCAAAGCAGCCAGTATGTCGAGCTACTGGAACTTCAGAGGATCGATATCGTTGCGCGCGGCATCAAGTCCTCCTGCCACGCCACGACAATTCAATTCAATTCAAGAAACAAGAACGTGGAAGAAAGGTACAAGGTTGCTTCCGCCACGCACAGCTGTACCTTTTGGAATGACTAGCGCGCACAGCTGGGGTTCCCGAGGACGGACCTGTCCACCTGTTCCAAGGATGATTTTGGGCCGCAACTTGCCTGCCCCCAGACTGACTGCAGTGTGGTCAGCACTGTGCGCACTTCTGTCACAACCACAGGCCTGCCTACCTTTAGACAAGGTAGAGAGTGTGCGAAAGAGGGGTCATGATCGCCATTTGGGAAAACCCGCTTTCGCCAGCTGTCACGACGTTGCATCTCTCGAGTCTGATTTGCGACTTTGCCCAGCGCCAGTGCATGCAAGCGCCTGCCGGACTGTTTCTTTTTCGGGCTCCGTCTGGTATTTCTCAATCGCGTCTGTCAATTTGTCTTCGTTTTTGCGACCCAAAAGCCCATTGTGTTCTTCCGCCACTCTCTACCAAGACCTCGAAGCTTCCCATCCGCCTTGATTGTTTGATTGAGCATTTTGTATCCTGTAGTACGGGTCACAGAGCGGACACCATGATGAAGAAAAGGTCGCATTAGTCTTGGCCCCAACATCAAACCCCATCCACACCTTTCCCTCTATTGCCCCCACCACTACTCGTGTCAAAATCTCTCACACTGTCCCTCGCTGGCGCTGGGCGCTTCGTCCGCTGATAAGCCTCTCCAACCCGGGCCCAATCTTTGCCATTCAGTGTTTGTTGCCAGCGTCGGGCAGTGGACAAGACGAGACGAGAAGACGAGACGGACCAGGCGCCAGCAGCCAGCAGCCAGGCCACACACACATGCCTGCAACCCACTACTGCTCACTGCCACTCGCTTGCTTCTCCACTACCGCCTGATTATTTTCCTTGGGCGCACGCCATTTATCATACCGCTTTCTCCACCACGTTCTGAGGACCTTTTGCTTACCATGAACCTTATCTAGACCGCCGCATCTTGCCAGCAACATGAACCACCATTCTCCCACCTCGTCCTCGGGGCCTGAAGACGCCGCCGAAAACACCGCCGACGAAGAAGATTCCGAAGACTACTGCAAGGGTGGATACCATCCCGTTCAGATTGGCGAGAAGTTCAAGGACGGACGATACACGGTGGTGCGCAAACTGGGCTGGGGCCATTTCTCGACCGTCTGGTTGTCGCGGGACAACGTCAACGACAAGCACGTCGCCCTCAAGGTGGTACGATCCGCTAGTCACTACACCGAAACCGCCATCGACGAAATCAAGCTCCTTCAGAAGATCGTTCAGGCGAACCCGAACCACCCCGGCCGGAAGTACGTCGTCAGCCTGCTCGACTCTTTCGAACACAAGGGACCCAATGGCGTACACGTCTGCATGGTGTTTGAGGTGCTGGGGGAGAACCTGCTTGGTCTCATCAAGAAATGGCAACACCGAGGCATTCCCCGCGATCTCGTCATGCAAATAACGAAGCAGGTCTTGATGGGCTTGGACTACCTGCACCGAGAATGCGGCATCATCCATACCGACTTGAAGCCCGAAAACGTTCTCATAGAGATTGGTGATGTGGAGCAGGTGGTCAAGAAGGTGGTCAAGACGGAGGGCTCAGACAAGGAGAAGGAGAACCACAGGAATGGGCGTCGTAGACGGCGCACTCTCATCACGGGCAGCCAGCCCCTACCCTCACCGCTCAATGCTTCTTTTAACCGCGACAATCTGTTCCCGTCGCCGAACTCACACACCAGCCTCAATGCCATGTTGAACGATCGTAAGTCGATGCCGCCCCGCGCCGCCTCGCGCCTCCCACCCCTGCATGCGTTAGTGACCGTGGCCGCGGTCATGGCCACGACCCGTCCCGCTTGATCATCGCGATTTGCTAATTGCCGCCAACAGCCATGACAGCTGCCAAGAGCCCTAGCGAAAAACAAGAGCAGAGAGAGAAGACGGCGTAAGTGTGCTCAACACGCGTGTACCGTGTACCGTGCCGATCCGGGCTGATCACTGACATGAATCTGTGGCCAACAGCGATATCCTTACGAAAGAAGTATCCGGCATCTCCCTCGACAAGTCTGCAGCGGGCAGAAGCCCCAGTAGTGATAAGAAGAGAAAGCGAAAAGGACCCATCATCAACGTCAAAATTGCAGACTTGGGCAATGCCTGCTGGGTCTCGCACCACTTCACAAACGACATCCAGACGAGGCAATATCGATCGCCCGAGGTTATACTTGGTGGAAAATGGGGAGCCAGCACAGATGTGTGGAGTATGGCAGCAATGGTGAGACTCCCCCCCCCCCTCCCCCCTGTGCCTTCTCAAATGTTGCAATGCTTTGCTTCCTTTTGCTTTTTTGCTCGTTCCTTGATTTTCCAGAATGTCTGGTAACATGGTTACAGGTCTTCGAGCTCATCACGGGAGATTATTTGTTCGACCCGCAATCCGGAACGAAGTACGGCAAGGACGACGACCATATAGCACAGATCATCGAGCTACTTGGCCCTTTCCCCAAGGATCTGTGGAAGCAGGGTCGCTGGTCTCAGGAGATCTTCAATAAGAGAGGCGAGCTCCGCAACATACACCGACTGCGCCACTGGGCCTTGCCCGACGTCCTTCGCGAGAAGTACCACTTTAAGGACTTAAAAGAACTGACGCCAAAGGAGCGCGAGGAGCGTGAGCGAAAAACCAAGGCCACTGCGGAGAAGAAGGAACGTGGCGAGGAAGGGGACGACGATGAGGAGCCGAAGCTGGAGTATCAGCCAAGCGACGTTGCCGACTTCCTGACGCCCATGTTGGAGTTGATACCCGAGAGGAGGGCCAATGCCGGCGGCATGGCAAACCATCCGTGGCTGAACGACACCCCAGGTATGGAGGATATCAAACTCGAGGGGCTGGTACCAGGCGGTCGGGGTGATGGCATCGAAGGTTGGGCAACCGAAATCAAGAAGCAGCGGTAGTCGCCCTTCTTTGAAGGAATGGGCTTTCTGCTCTTAGTCGGCGTCCCCGTGGGCTGTCATAACTGGCTGGATTTCCACGGCGGAGACGACAAAGCTTCACTTCTGCCGGACGACAGGGTGCCTCGTCACGCAGCTCGGTATGCAGATATGCCGACTCTGTGAGCACGAGCACGACCATGAGTACAGAATGCCGGTCGTATTCCCGAGGCCAACTTCTCGACGCCCACAAGAAGGGAATAGATGGATGAGGGCCAACTGTCTGAATCAATGTGAGGGTTTGACCCAGTCTCTCATTTATTGTGACATACCACGGTGCAGATAAAGAGTGCAAATGGATAGAAGGTGGATCTCGGTAGTCACTAGTACAGTAGCAGTAGCGTCACCCCCTGGGATTTCCACCGGGGCGGAATGACTTCAGCGTAAGTTTTTTTATTTGAAGAGGAAAAAAAAGCTAAAGTGCTAGTAATGAAGACTTCGGCATTAACCAATATGAACTGATAGACATGAAGTCAACGTGCATTGGCGCTCCGTGGCTTTGACACGATGTTATGGGAAAGATACAATGGCCTGCGGAGAGGCTAATTCCTAGATGCCAAGACAGAACCAGCCCCTTTTGGAGCTTTACTGGTTCTATCTTGCCAAATTTGTAGGACAGCGGTCCGGACTATCGCAGATAGATGGCGCTTGCTAAAGTGTCCTTGGCGTGCTGGGGGAAGATTGGCAGAGCGCTCATGCGTGTGTTCCCCCATCGTATCTTTTCTCTTCTAGCTCCATCCAGTATATAGGAATCTCGGCCGTCCAGCTGCATCTTGACTCTGGTCCACCAGGCATTTCTCATACGTGACATAAAACAATGAAGGCCGGGATGTTGATCATGCCGTCAGGTTTCACATAGCATAGGTCTACCCTGGACTAGTGTAAAAGGCATAGTGCAGTAAATGATCCTCTGTGCTCGTGTCGGGTCCGTCGTGACTAGCAAAGCATGAATAACGACATTTTGGCCGGCATGTTGGTCGAACAGGTCCTCATGTAGGCTTCTGGTGGCTAGAAGTATAACGACTGGAATGCTTCAACGATGAGGAATAGCCTCTCTAAGGCGAAAAGATATAGGACGGCGCAGTGAAACAGGGATATGCACCGACTTGAATTAAAGGTATCGACGCACTAGAGGACAGCCAACGTCAACATGGCAACCAATCGGTGTTATGGTAAGCGTTAATGAGGCAGCGCGGCCCACACAGCGTGCTGCTGCAACGTGGTTGGAAAAGAGAATGACCAAGATATCAAATGGAAACCACCGAATACAACCTGACCAAGTAACATTGATCGCCTCCTCCCACTGACCCACCCTCCCCTCGATATTACAGAGTAAGATATTGTGTGCCAAGACGAGGACCCGATAGAGTCGAGGTACCCTGTAGCCATCATTTCGTCTTGAGGGCTGACTTGAGAGCCAGTCAATAGAAAGGGGCGCCGACATCCTTGGGCTCAGACCTTTGAACAAGGTAGGCTCGTGGCAGCACATACTGCATATGCGAGTATTGCGATTTCGAGTGGCGTGGTGGCTTTGGACTATTGTTTCCGTGCGACGAGGCTCGCTGCTAGCCAAACGATCTGCGGAAGAGCCATCAGAGCACTGAGTCCACCACCTCTATCCTTACCGGCAATTTCGCTTTCAGAGACTTTCAATGGCTTTACATAATTCAATGTAAATTAAGTACCCAGATGTATTTCGACAGGGAACGAGGACCTTCCCACACTACTTTGGGCACGAGCACTTGCCTCCTAGAGGGGGCGAATCGAAGGTGAAGAGGGTGCGGTCGCCAATCCAGCCTCCAATTCGACCGTACTTGCTCGAGTTGGTGCGAATAAAGCGACGGAGTTCTTTCACGAACGAGTTTGAGTAGGATGGTAGGTGCTGTGTAAGTACTTCACCGAAAGCTGTGATTATTGGGTATCGTAGCTGGGCGACCTCTTGCTCGAAGTGGCGGACCATTTTCTTAAACATCGGGCTTGAAGTAGACTCGATGCCAACTGAGCCTTGTGTGTACGGGATCCTTGTGTCTGGTTGCTTTGCAAGCTTTAATGAATTCTCGGTAGCTGAGGATATGTCCTAGCCGAGCCGACTCGTCAGAAATCGACTGCAAATCCAGCAAGGTCCGCCAATATATGTGAGACATGCTCCGTTCACCGAATTTCCAGAGGGACTCAAACACATTCCCAATTTGGATGGCGTGTGATAGATGGCTAAGAGCATTGCCAAAAGAAAAACGTATCCTGGAACGATTATTGTGAACAGCATGAACTTCAGTTTGATCCACAGACGGAACCAGCTTCGTCCTGCCTCTCGCCATGTCGATTCGAGCTACGCCTGCAAAAACTCGTCTGTTGGCACTGCTTTGAAGTGGGGCGGAACTGGAACGACGAGAATGGACCGGGTACACAAGAGGATGATGGACAGACAACTCCAGATGACATCTTGAGACCCTCGGGTGTCGGGGTCTTTCATGAAGGCGGGAGCCTATGGGCGAGTACAGTTGGGTTGAAATGGTTGCATGTTGCTCACCATGGTTGATTTGTGTGCTTGCAACGTCGGTGCTTTCGTAAACGTGGGAAGACAATGAGGAGGTTGGTAAAAGGGGAAAGGCGAGATTGTGAATGCCCAAGTCTACGATTTCGCCGCCAAATGGCTCACATCTCTTGTGTTAGGGCCGACACCATTGTGAAGTTCGCCAGATGCATGCCCTGGGGTATCGCCGCACATGACACACCTAAAGTACTAAAGTAATTAGCAGTTTACCAAGGCTTGATAGGGTATAACTGGCGCAGATTTCGCATATGGAAACGGCGACAAACAGTCACAACATGGATATGCGAGAAACGAATTTGCTCACAGTTAGTTTTACATGAATCCACATGTCAACCTTGAATGCTGGAACACCCTCCCTGGATCTTATTTGCTGGAGATATCCAACGGCTTCGCTTGGTTCTCGGCGCCATACCCAGGGTAAATATCATGCAGCTGGAACCCCGAAGCGTCGCCCATGTAGATGAAAGGATCATAGATACCAACGACTTGAGCGGCAGCATTTATAGCGTCTATCGCGTTTTTAGCCCATGCCGTGACAGGGTCATCGAACTCAGAGGCCCAGGCCAATAGGTCCCTTTGGTCAGATCGATGTTGACCTCTTGGATTCATTCATCCAGAGCTCACCAGTGGGCTGCCAGTTTATTCTCACAGGGAGGATACTGCCTGCGGGAACAACATCCTGTAAACATTGAATGTAATCATGGATCATACGGTTGGTAATTTCGACGCCCTGTATCATGACTCGTAATTATTTCCAACGGCTGTTCGTGTGACGAACATATCCTTGTAACCATCAGTGCCTCCACCTGCCACTGCCACCTCATATTCGTCCATCCAGTCGAAACCCTCTCCCCATATTCAACCAGGACCAATCCTCAAGCTTGTTGTGTCGCCCGACAACGCAATGGAGGTCAAGTTGGACAGAACGAAAAGAAACCCTTGATCGATATAGTCAACTCCCTACATTCAACCAAGATTACCAACCAGGCAGGGAGAACACGGAGAACGACAAAGTACCTCGATACCCATATGTTCTCCATGCACCGCAAAAATAAAATGCCAGTCCTAGTGCTATTGGACCGCAATTCCACTACAGCCGAGGATATGTCAACTGCACTCTGGGGACTGAAGACGCACTTGGAGCTTCGGATCTCCGTGTCAGACCATAATTTCTGTGACTCGTAGTCGTACACGTCACTGCTCGGCAATAAAACTGTCCTGGGAAGGACGGCCTTCGGCTGCAACCTTCTCATGCCAGTGCATCATACGGCTCCAGGACGACACACGACTGTGAAGCACTGAAGGGTTGCAACAATGGATAAACCTGTAATGAGAAACATGACTTTACTCGGTTGCAGTTGGAGAAGACTAGGAGCGTGTATAACCAGGAAAGCCGCAAAACAGTCAGGAACTCGACGTCGCAGACGAAATAATTATGAATGAAGCATGGAGCTGTAAATCATCGTGATACAAAGGTATGCAAAGCATGTCCGCAACCATACGGGGTCCCGAACCTCTACCCGGCTGAACATATCCACTAATAAACCTGGCTAGATATTGACCAAATCAGCATGTGCAGTGGCCTCCCCAATCTAGGCTCAGTAGCATTCTAAGTGATCTCGGCACAGTCATCATCTAAGCTGAGAGTAGTTGTTATTTTGTGCGTAACCGAAACTTGCACCTTTTTATCTGGGTCCCCTGAGGGACTGATGAGAAGCAATAAGATCGGCCAGAGGTAAGTACTGCTAGTCAAGTTCTGCAGAAAACATGTGTTGTGTTCGACTTTCAGTCCTGAGTCAACCAGTACTACTAACCTGAGGTACCAACTTCGACACAAGAGTTTTTCAGGACCCATCAGGCCCGAAATTTCCCGCTGCTCCCATTGGCAGTTTGCGCCGCCTCATCAGTCGACCACGAGAGGCTTACTATTCCGGCGCCCACTGCAATGCAGATGTGCGCCGAGACCAGGACGGCCATGAGGCGCTGTGAAGAACTCATCTCGGCTTTGACTTTAACTTCAACAATCTAAGATAGGAGGAACGATAAACAGGGAAAGGAAGAAAACGAGACATGGCCGAGTACGCCGTCCACTTGAGCAACAGCGTCATGGGGCACAACGATCGACTGTTCTTGGTGGTGCAGGTGCTGCGCCGCCCAACGGTCCTAACCGCCGCTAGGCTTGACACCGGCATCTCCTTTAAGCCATGGGGACGTCAGAGCGGACTAGCGGCCAAAAATACATTGCATGGGATTGGTCGATTGGGCAGCATCGAAGATGGACCCGTATACATTAGCCATGTCTGAAGTGGTCCATTGCAGCCAACAGCCATGGGTTCCCCTCATTATGTCATGGTTGACAGAATGCGCATGTAAATGGTAACTGCAACGCACTATGCCGCTTTATGGAGCAGGAATTCACAGGGGTCACCATTGATCAACCTCATGTGTGGTTCGGCGCCAGCACGTCGATTGTATCTGGACTGCCAATGGAATCGGATGCTTATTAACTTAAGCCTCATCGTCCACTAAACCAGCGAGTAGATATACTGGATTGACTTAAGAAATTCTACGAGTTCTGCGACTAGGAGACATGTTAGTTCTGAATCGGCAATCAGTATCAGTTGTAGTGAGGGTGCAAGTGTGAAGATGAGCACGGACTGAACGCAGACAATTTATCTCAGTCCATGTACAGATCAGTGAAACAGTTGAACTTCGACATGGCATCTGAGTTGACAAGATGCAATGGTCGCTGTACCAACTGCATCGATCCTGCAATCATATCTCTGCGGCCAAAGGCCATGTTGAGTTTGCGTGAGCTAGGCCCTCTCCCTAGCACCTATTTAGCTAGAGCTGTGGTAGCCGCTTCGGGATTGATCTTCATGCCTCCATCTTCCTTCAACCTTGAAGATAATATTGTCCGAGTCATTGACGGCGGCTGGTTTTGTCCCAAACTGGCAGGTCATCCCGGATCGGATTGCCGCTCAAATCAACTTCGGAACTCAGCTCCGGTATCGAACTCCACTACTCCATCCCAAGCTCCGATGTCCGACTTCACTTCAGTCCTTCAACTCTAACACCATTGAAGATCTCGGGGCCCATACTTTCCCAAGGTCTCTGCTCTTCTCATCTAAGATTTCCTACGATTATTTGATCCAGACACTCATCCAGTGCCAAGCAAGGACAGCGCTCTTTGTACTACCAAGCCCTTTCCGAGATGCGGGCACTCGACTATCTCCTCGCCGCCGCCGCAGTAGCTCTTACCGTCGGTATCTCTACATCGGCCCATGCCGCCAAAAGCCCGCGGATACAAACCCTGCCGCCGCTGCGGGAACAGGCCAAGATCGTAGATGCATGGACCGAAGAGCGCAAGGCTCTTATTCCAGGCATTCTGCGCAAATACGGCATTGATGCCTGGCTGGTCTGTCTCGCTCGTCCACTCACCCATATACTCACGTGGTGATTCATCCATTTACCCACTCATGGCCACACGTTTACATGCACACGCATTCATTATACGCCTTGAAACAAACACGTGCCACACAAAACTGACCCTCACCCAGATAAGTCAACGCGAATACGCCGAAGACACCGTCTTCTGGGCCCTCAAAGAAGCAACTCAGTTCTCCGCCCGCCGCCGTACAACCTATCTCTTTCTGGCCCACCCCACCAACGGCGCCCCCTCGTCTTACCAATGGATCGAGAACACGCCCCTGGTTTGGGACGAGCTAACCTCCATCCTCGAGACGCAGCAGCCCGCCACCCTGGCTCTCAACGACCACGCCGAGCTCGCCTTTTCAGGCGGTTTGCATGCCGGTGAGCGAGATGCCATATTCTCTGCTTTGGGGAGTAGCAAATGGACGGGCAAGTTCGTGCTCGAACCCATGTTGGGGATCGAGACAGTGGCGACCATGGTACCTAGTAGACTGGAGTGGTATAAGAAGATGATGGAAACGTCTTGGGCAATCATCGAGGAAGCCTTCAGCGAGCGGATCATCAAACCGGGGGAGACCACAGCGTGGGATGTCGAGTGGTGGATGAGAGAAAAGATCCAGGCGCTGAATTACACGACTTGGTTTCAGCCTAGCGTTTTTATTCTCAACAAGGACGGGTTTGAGGCAATGGACGACCCACGGGCACCGGACGGGTTGATCGAGTATGGGGATATACTGCATTGCGACTTTGGCGTGACGGCGTTGGGACTAAATACGGACACCCAGCATGTGGGATATGTCCTGTCTCCTGGCGAGACGGGGGCGGATATACCCAATGGCCTTTTGGAGGGACTCGAGAAGGTCAATCGGTTGCAGGATATCACGAGGGGTAATATGAAGATTGGGATGACGGGGGATGAGATTCTCAAGGCTTCGCTGGATCAGGCCCATGGTGAGGGAATCCAGGGTAAGATCTACTGCCATGCCACGGGAGAGTTTGGACACAGTGCTGGGACGGTTGTTGGTAGGTTTCACCACATTCAATTTGAATCTACGCTTGAGATGGAACTAACTGCTGTATGTAGGCATGACTAATTTGCAGGAAGGGGTTCCGTTCCTTGGGGAGCTGCCGTTGCTCAAGAATACTTACTACAGCATCGAGCTGTACGCGGAACACTTTGTCCCAGAGAGGAACCAGACCATCAAGTTCCCACAGGAAGAAGACGTATTCTGGAATGAAGAGACGGAGAGTTGGGATTGGGTCTATGGGCAGCAGACCAAGTTTCACTTCATCCATACTCAGGCAGACAAAGGGGTACAGAGTCAAGGAGAGCTATGACATGGATTAACCATTCATATTAGTGTCATTTTACACAATAAGAGCATATACTTCAGCATCAAGACGTTCGAGGTGAAATTGTCGAGGTGAAATCGTCTAGGGGATCCATAATAGGCTGTTCAGATCTCAGCTAGACGGATGTGATCCAAGAAACGAGAGTGATGGGTCACGAGGGGAGCTTATATTGATGTTTCATATTGCTGCAACCTGAAAAACACAATGGCGGCCTAAGTCTCATGGGGAAAGTGGGAGGCAGAATGAGAATGAAGGACAATATGAAAGGGAAAATTAAGGAAAGGTGTTGTCATCATTGCTGAAAACCAACGCTTCGCTTTTTATTTGCGGCTTCTCGGTATTGTTCTTGCTTGAATCTCTGATTTTTATCCACCGTTCAGTGTTGAAAAGAAAATCCAACAGTGAAATTTACCTCTGTTCCTGATTAAGGAGAATATTGGATTTGATATATTTAGTCTTTGGTTCGCCCCTGTCCACACTCGTTCTTGCTGCGGCTAGCCCGGTGTTGGGGCAGCCTCCTTTTTCATATTAATATTGTAGGGTCTGAAAACTTGGTTACGGAATCCCGAGAAGCAACAACTACTGTTGAAAAACAGTCTGTCCGGCATAACAAAAGGTTGCAGGTGCAAGCGCACGGGTTAAGCCACGAAGTCGCTTGTTGAAGCTTGGTCTTCGCAACTTCACCACACCAAAACTGGCTTGATCATATTTCCATTGCGCATGGCGGCTACCGCAGTCGCAAAATTATCCAAATCGAAGAAATTCACCAGTTTCTCCATAGGAAATGTCCCACCCTTCCACCAACGTACCATCTGCGGAATAAACTCCGTTGGGAGACTATGCCCCTGTACGGCGGCCCCGGAATAACGTCCCACACTTACATCCGGGACACCCCCACATGTGGGACGCCATAAAAATGACACTGTATATTATAACCATTAACTTCAACAATGTTTTACACTTATTCTAATGCGACTACAATACAGCTTTCACCGTCACTAGGGTTTTCAGACTCGCTAGACTCATCTGTACTATCCTCAATTTCACCAGCCTCGATTTGAGCCTTCCGAATAGCCTTGATATTAGTAAACTTCGAATTTGGGCTCATCTTGACCTTCCTCCGCTTCCTAGCCCTACTAGCCTTAAGCTCTGCCTCTATTGCCTCAATCTTTCGCTGTGCGACAGCTAATTGGTAGTCCTTCTCATCAAAGCCCTTTTGAACTTTCCGAAAGAGTAGCCGCTGAGTATTTGGATCACTATCAAGCTTGCTGAATAAGCTGAGTTGATCTTGGAGCTCATCTCTCCTCTTAGGCGTTGACCAGGCTACTGCTGATGTCTCTAACGCCCAGTCCTGACTACCCTTACTATCAGAGTACCCTTTGCAAGTCTGACTAGGCTGTCTGATTGGTGCTGACGTATTCTCAAGGAGCAGGGGGCTCATAAGGGGTCTAGCTATGCTCGAAGGCCAGAGACCAGTATATTTCCATCCACTGATAATGTTCTTAGCGGTTAATGCTGCTAGACGTGCCTTTCTATAGCAGAGGAGAAAGTTTCTCTTCCCTACGACAGTAGTAGTATCCCATCGGTCAAGGTAACCAAGCTCCTTCTTATAGGCTGCCTTGAGGGGTCCAAAGACTGACTGATCGAGAGGCTGGAGAACGTGGGATGTGTGTGGCGGCAAGAAAAGCAAGTGTATCTTGTTTATGAAGCAGACGTACGTAAAATTTCGTAACGATTGAATCGATATTGGTAAAGAAAAAAGAGGTTGAAGTTAGAGGCTAGCGGTGTTGATGAGGCATTTTTGGGTGTCTCACATGTGGGGGTGTCCCGGATGTGGGTGTGGGACGTTACTGTTTCCCACTCTCCATGGAGCTCTGTATGTGTATAGATAGATTTTTATCCGGGAATCCCTTTTCCTACCTGCATTATCTTCTCCAAAGACTGACTGAAATCGACTTGTGCCTCCACAAGTGGCGGATAAGCAGTTCCATCGATAGCCACCGTAGTGCCCAGCCCATCTACAGAAACGATCCAGTTGCCGCTCAGGCTGACTGCGCGAAGAATGAGCTCCCAAGTGAGGTGCCGTTTGCGTCAGAGAACGCAGGCTCATCCATGAAGTTATCCTTGATGAAGGCGGCACAGTAGGCTGGAATGCCCGCCTTGCCGAGGGGCGAGTACCGCAATGGGAAACGGTGAGGAGGACAGAGTCATCGATCCTGCAAATGAGTTATTGCCGATCCTACTTGGCGAACATAGCCAGATCCTGTTTCTGCGTGTGAGGAATCTGAGCCTCGGCTGGGGCGTTCTTGACAATTTACAAATACTTCCCCTCGTGGCCTAGCATTCGGAGATAGTAAACCCATGGAATATCTTTATTGGCGGGGCTATCACCGCAGTGAAGGTCGGAGTGACAGATTCCTGACGTTACAATTTCTACGACTACCTCGTCGGGCTTAAGCCCGCGCAGGTTTATGTCCTTAATGGCCCATCTTCCTTCAGAAAATGACCCCCGGGAATACCAAGGCTTTGGACTTGGTTGCGTTAGTTGCCATGGCTGCCTGACTAATTTGTGAGTTTGATAGTGCAATAGGATATGGATGTTTTGTCTTGGATGGTTTCAAGCCACGACTGAGTATCGTTTGGATGAATATTCGACTATCTTTTCATGAGATAATGAAAATGGGCGGGAAATGGACGAGCAGCGTAACGTAGCGTAAGACAACACAACATTGGTATGCTCATCATTCAGATGTCTAACAGCTCCTAGCTCACGACACAACGAAACTCTGGCCATGGACTTGACGGCCGTGGCACAATATACGCGTGACACAACAGATGTGAATACAACCAAGTGTTTTATCCATGAAACTCAATAGATAATATCGATCGACCCACGTTATCCCCTAATTACGCCTGGCCAAAGTAGGGCCTTCGGCGGCCTTAAAAGCCTTGCCCAGTTTCGGGCCAACCAAGCGACGCAAAGACGTCCCCTTGATCCGTAGGCCATAGTGAGAAGTCCATTGTGGCAGGATCGAAATCGTTGCTGGGCATCAGAACCCCGGATTTCACCGGTAAGAGGTGGTTCAGTATGTCGGCGCAACGGGTAGCTAGGGGGTCTCCCCCGAGAGTGGTGGACAGGATGTTGCGGACTTTCTCGATATCTTTCTGCCAGTTGGAAAGCTCTGATGAGCCGGCACCGCCGATGATCGCCAGAGCGGCGACCAGTGACGCGTGGATTAGATAGTACCTGTGAATATCAGCAGAAGCTCAGAGGAACAACCATTCTCAGGTAATTTGGGCGTACAGGGAGTACCAGCTAACAAGCCGGGTCAGTTCCGCATGTCCTAAGAACTCGGCGATGGACTCGATCGTCGAATGAGCGGCATTTATTCCTATATCATAGCACTTGTCGTCTAGCGGGTTTGGTGCGAAGGTGAAATTCTTCCCGTTTCTTTCCATTGCTCGTCGTAGCAAGAGTTGGCGGACAGAGATGATCTTCAAATTCCAGAATCGCCACCAGAGTTTGGAGCGCGTAAAAAGGTACCACTGTTCGGAGCTTGAGGACCCTGATTGGAGAGAAAAGTATGGAGGCAAAGTTTCGGACCATGAGTCAAGCGCTTGATTCATGGATAGAGCCTCCTCCATAGACACGCCGGCCGTAGAGAGGAGTCGATTAGAGATGTAGTTGGAGTGTACGTGGAAGTCACATTGGGCTCTCATGCCAGAGTAGATGGTGGGTTGGCTTGACTCTTCGGGCAACCTTGTGCTTCTCGGGGTAAGTAGCTGCGCAGTGTTAGTGAGAACTCGGTGGTGTAGTTGGAGGGGTTGACCTCGTCGTCAATGTTGAGAACGGATTTCACGTCCATGGCTTCGAGCCCTGGAAGCAGAATTGGTCTGCCGAAAGTCGTCGAGGCGCCGCTGTCGAACATGTAAAGGCCCCACCAAACTCGCCGGCGCATCTCTCGTTGCAGACAATTGATGTCCCAATCCGGTAGTTCTCGATGCAAGCCAAGGCTAAGAGCCATGCGAGTGGCTAGACCCAGAAAGTTGGAGCCTGTATTGGGTTTGTTGCGCTTTTGGCTAAGATTGCTGAGCAGGACAAGCGCCTGCACGAATGTGAGATTGGCACTCTCAAACATGGACTCGTCTTCCCCGAATGACAGAGCCTGGCGGTAGAGGTCGTCTTCCAGTTCCACCTGTCCATCGTTCATGCACCAGGCCCCGAGGGCTAGAATTGTGTACAGTAGCATCTGCCATGAGCGTCTTTGCGGTCGCGGAATCACCTCATGGAACTGGGCGCGGAAGGTCGCCTCATGCACAAAGGGATAAGATACATGGTACACGGCGAAGTAGGAATCCAAAAGTTTGTTCATAACCTGACGCGAAGCCATATTTTGTGAAAGCCGAGATGACGAGGCAACCTGGTCGAATTCCTGTTGGAAGTTGGGAGCAGCATAGTGTGAGTCGGTACTGGATGATGGGTTCCCCATCCAGAATAGCAGGGAGCGTAGGAAGAAAACGCCAGCGGTTGATCCTTCATCAAAGTCAGGAGCAAAACAGCGATGGGTGCCATAAATACTTACCCAAGTAGCCGGTTCCCTTGGGTTCAACAGACAGAGTGGCCATACCATCAGCCAAATCGTTCACATCTTCCTGCCAGTCGAAGCCATCGGCTTCATCAGGAACAGCTTCGGAGAACGTTCCTGGACTCCCTGGACTAGCAGCATCGACTTTTGCGACTGGAAATGGAGTCTGGACAGAATATGGGGTTGGCGGGTTAGCCTCGGCTTTCCCATGGTCTTCATGGCCAAGTGATGCTAATGCCTCATCGAGGTTGACATCGGGCAAACGCTGAGCAAACAAACTTTCAAGGTTGTGCAGCCGCCGTTCAACACTAGTAAGATAGCTGCACAATGGTCAGTTGTCACAGACCTCAACGTGATGCTGTATACTACAGGGGTCTTACGCCCGCGTCAGTGGAGACCGAATGACTCGACCACTATAGTGACAGTCGCGGTGATTCAGGAGGCAGGCGGTGCAACTGGGACGCTCTCGAGAACACTGGAAACGATTAGCAAACAGGAAACTGAAGTCTTGGATACCATTCACGCACCCTGAGCTTCTTGATGCGACAAGAGTCACACTTCGATTATTTAGCCGGCGAACCACGCTCATGGAGGGATGGAGAGTCGGGACAAACCGCCAGGTTATTTCCGGATTGCCGGTGCGAATGCTCCATTATTGCCTAACAAGGACTGCCAGGAGAATAAAGGCAGCCCACATGTCGACGCCTCGGCATCAAAACAATGGAAGTATGGCCAAGTCCTTGTCTCGCGCGAGTATGCCGACAGCTACAGGTCTCACAAGTGGGGCAACAGAAAAACCCATCCACTCCGAACGAGATGAGCACGTGACCATACGTGATGTCATTCACGTGGGAATGTTCTACATGTGTGAAACTCATAGTAGCCGTGTTTATGAGGTATTTCTATGGATATGCTAGCAGTAAAAATTGTGACAAATAGCAATTAGTTACTAGGGTGAAGGAGTGGTCGGGTTGAGTGCTACGACAAAACTGAATCACCATCATACATTTGGGACGTCGTGGCTATTAGCTAAGCTATATTAATAGCATCAACACGTACTTCGGTATAAAGTCATACACGCAGTACATATTTTATTTCTTTGTTTCTTTTCTTCTTTTCCTCTTCCGTTTCAACAGATCCGGTGGGCATAATTGATATTTGGATGGAACAAGATCGGTTTAGACAGAAATCGGAATGCTGCGCAAGAAGTATGCAAATGGGTTGATACGTCTTCAATGGTAACAACCTCTATCCGAACTAAGCTGATAGCCAATAGATAATGCAAGTGACGGATTATATGGTTCTATTCCCCCGGGAAACTTAACCTGTGTATATATATGCTCTACTGTGCCTGAGAGAGCCTTTATGGGGAGCAAAAACGTCTACACGAGGCATCTCGTCTCCAGTAACTCCCTTAGTCAAACTGCTTGAGATGAAAACATAAATCCCTCATATTGGAGCCTTGCATGTTAATATACAGAGATTCGGTGCGAATAGTTTTGCATTAGAGGATGTCTATCCTGAAGAATTCTGCGGAGAACCGGTTCAGTCAGGTCATCGCTACAAGGCACCTAGATGGTGTTGAGGCACATCAACAGCATTTTTACGACCTATCCTCCAAGGCAACAAAGACCACACCTTGTGGTTTTCCAGAGACGGCAAGCTCAAGATGCCGCGAACCGCATCCCAAAGTTCAGATGGCCTTCGCATATAAGTCTTGAACCTTGAACCCTCTTTCCAACCTGGTGATTACATCCTTGGTCATGTCGCACTTGAGCCAGGCCAGGTTACGTACAAGAAACGATACCCGGATCTGTTGGGGGGATCGAAAGAAAATACATAACAAGGCGCGACTCACACTGGCACATCAACCGTAGCTGCGCCTCTTCAGTTAACGTCATGTCACCGGCCAACCTAACGGCGATCATGTATCATTATCGCTGCCTTGCAGCTTGGAAATTCCCGCGGCCACATTGCAGTTGTTGAATAATCAAATGGATAGCCGCCAGAGCGGAGCCTTAGTCCCTGATGACGACGACATTGAATGGCCAAGGGACCAAAACTACCTCTCGACCGACGACTTAATGAACGTACCTGTATCCTCCACGTATTACAGCGACAATGGCTGTGACCCCTTCCCAAGCTCGCAGGCAGAGGCCTACTCGCTGAGTTCAACAGCTTTTATTCCACACAAGGCGATTGGCATCCCTCATGCCCAAGCTACGGCGACGTTTCTCTTACTCAGACGCAGGAGCAGCCGGTGATCATCCTTGCGACGTCTGAGGTACAGATGCGCGGCAGAGGAGAAGCTTGGTTGATTTCAGGATCGCAGTCGGCATGGTAGGGAATTTTCAAGTGGTGCATTATAAGCAGCACTGGGTTGATTGCTGTTTCTCCGTTTCTGAATGCGCCAGAGGGTAATGGATTTGGTTTCACCTCATATGCCCAGCATGTGACAGCGAGTCACCTTGTCAAAAGCGTCGTATTTCGACTCGAGATGTCAGCACCGTTCTGTGCAGGTCACAATGCAAGACCAGACCGGGATACTACAGCCCATATAGTCCATATTGAGCACGACACTCCCACGGAGTGAGTGCTGAACTCTTCCTACCCTGAGGTGAATGAAATAGGAGGGGCAGAATACCTTGTGCGACGGTTGGCAAATACGGCTGACAATCGTGATATATATATATATGTATATATTGCAATCGACTGAATACGTGGCTGTGAACTCATTTATAGAGTTTATCTAGCTCATCTTGCAATTCCTGTTTGCCGGTGTTTGTTGACTCGAACCATGCATGCAGAACCGCTGTGGGGAAACACCGTATCAACTAGTCAAAGGTTTGCCATGAACTCACTCGTCTTTGAAGGTTTAACAAGGAGTCTTAGCATGGAAGGGTTCTAGACCGTGGGATCGCAGTGTCTAATCGCTCTTCGAGAGGCGTTATCGATCAAATTACTGCATATAAATGAGTCAGCGCGCAGTATATAAAGGGCGTTTTCTCATTCATAACTTACACTCACAGCCTCGATATATCTCGCTGTTGTCGTGCCCACATTGGAGACAATTGGTATAAGTAAGTCAGAGTTGCCCATCGTTAACAGATCTCTTGTATTGGTCTTGACCAACACTTCTGCATCCGTGCAGACTGCTAGTAGCCGTTTTAGAGTTCCGAGTATAGTGCATCACCACGAGAATAAGGAAGGAATAAGATCATGATACTTTTCTCGAGGTAGCACAGCATGGTGTTGTGATCGAAACGAGAACAGACAACATGGACTGCACTTGGTGGGCACAGTCAACTCCCCGTGGAACCGGAGCTTCATTCATTGTGGGCAATCTACCATGATGGTGGGAGCGAAAAGATGGTAGTCTGGAAAAGCGACGCTTTGGCCATTCCTTGGTTCTGGCGATATAGCAGGCTGGCATTACCTGACTCGGTAAGTTTAGACATGCGCATCACAATTTACCCGTGAGCCGCTTCCAAGATCAGTCAACAGTTCCCCAAGACGATGATCCCTCGCCTCCACCGCTGTAAACTATTGAGTATAGCCGGGGTGATAAGCGCAGCATGTGATAAGGGGCTAGACAGCCCCCTCCCCCCCCAGGTTCCGGCTTTATCTCCGTTATCGGGCGTCGTATACCCCAACTCGAGCGCCACTCGTCTCCCCAATGACCTAATGGTTGCCTATGGTTGGTTTCTAGTAGGTAATTATGAAGTGGTCATGTCTTTGTGTAGCGAAAAGTGTTGCGATGAGGACGCAACAACTTGCTCACAAACTTCTGGCGTGTTTAGGATACGTCTCCATCTTAAATATATACCTCTATACACCAGAGTGGGGACAAGCTGAGAATACAATTGGTTGAATCAAGTCTAGGATGATGCTTGTTTACGAAGTTAGGGAGGACGCCGTTGAGATGGCATACACTTGTCATCACGATTATAGTAGTCCGACCAGCATCCGCGCATCAGGATCATGGGCTACGCCATCGAGACTCAGCCGATGTGATATTGCATTTGCATCTTTTGTGCAAACGGATGAGATGGCATGCCGCTTTAGTTGGTCGGGGACGGGCCGGTAACGCTATGGCTCGAGGCAAGTTTGCCCCTCCACACCTTTTGACGCTGATAAACCGAGTCAAGTCCAACCACGTTTTCACACGATTGATAGAGTTCATCATGAGGACGGCGATTGGATGTGTTACCTGACATCGGACCGCCGTTGCCTCGTGTTAGGCCCAGATCATGATGCTCCTTTATCTATATGCCGGCATGCCTGACAATGGGCCAGCCCCTCGTTTTGTCTATGTTTGCCGCCGCGGCCCAATCACTGACGCATGCTGCCTTTACTGACCTTGGCCGGGCTCCTCGTTTCTCACGATAGTGTCCTGGGTCCTCGCATGGCCGCCACCTTGGTCGAGACGCAAAATGCGGGGAGATGGGTAGGGAGGCAAGCAGCCAGCCGCTGGGCGTGATAAGGCCTAGGTGAATCAAAGTACGGCTTCATCATGATAAAAGGGCCACGCGCACCTAACTATATGACTCGTGCCATCATACTTCTCAAACATATATCACAAGAAGCATCATCGTACCAAGTCCGGTGTCATCATCAACCTCCCATTAGCACACTATTGACACAAACCACTTCACAATGGCGACGGCTGCGGTACTCCCCCCATCCGCCACCACCAAGCCCAGCTGGAAACCCATCATCGTAGATTCTCACCCCTCCCTAGTCGGACGAGATGACTTCAACCCCTCAAAACACCTTGCATTCAAGAAAGCCCCAAAAACGTACACCATGAAGGAAATTGGCCTCCCCGAGGACCAGGGCATATCCCCCATCGCCGTGTCTGAACCCTTTCCCCTCTTCACCCAAGAGGCGGTTATGAGGATGAGACAGGAAGTGCTGAGCCAGGAGGTTCTCGACAACTGCCAGTACTCCAGCAACCTTTCGCACTGCCAGCTGAGGGGCTTTGCGAACAAGTGAGTGGCCCCATGGCGGGTTCTCATACCCATGACCAAATACCTAACAAGTGATCAGATATGCACCATTTGTGTACGACGTCTGGAAAAGCCCAGAAACTCTGGCAATCGTCTCCAAGATTGCCGGCATCGATCTGGTGCCCGAGATGGATTTTGAAATTGCCCACATCAACATTTCGGTCAAGACCGAGGAGGAGAGACAGGAAGAGCTCGCGGCATTCAGGGAACGCGCAGAATACGAAGCCGACGAGGGTATTGCCGGTTGCCCATGGGAAGACGACAAGCCGATTGTCGACTGGCATTGCGACAGCTACCCCTTTGTTTGTGTCACCATGCTCAGTGATTGCACCACCATGATTGGTGGTGAGACTGCTCTTCGCACTGGAACGGGCGATATCATGAAAGTGCGCGGCCCACAGATGGTGAGTTTCTTGCGTTTTTTTTCCACTTGCCATATATCTCGTAAAATCAATACTCATATTCAAATAGGGCTGCGCCGTCATTTTGCAAGGCAGATACATCGAGCACCAAGCTCTTCGCGCTCTCGGCACCGCCGAGCGCATCAGCATGGTCACTTCTTTCCGCCCCAAATGCCCCAAGATCAGAGACGACACGGTCCTGACCACCGTGCGCCCCATCTCGAACCTGTCGGAGCTTTACAACCAGTTCAGCGAGTACCGTCTCGAAATTCTTGAGGAGAGAATCCGCCAGCAGCTCAAAGAACTCCGCGAGTTCAACTCCACGGGTCGCAGGGTTCCCACCAAGAAGTTGAAGGCATTCTTCGAGGAGCAGGAGAAATTCCTGGCCCATATGAACAAGGAGATGGTTGATGACGAACAGGTTGTGAAGGGAGCCATCGATGACAGTCACTTGCTGACTAAAAAGGACGAGGCCTTGCCGCGCAAGAGACCGCGCCAAACATAAGAACGGGCGGACTAAAGTAATGGAGGTGCAGGGCGAAGGAGATAACGGGATTCATGAATTTGGATAGGAGGATTTTGTTGTACTTGGATTTAGCGTGTGCCATTCTTTCAAGCGGATGTGACTTTGGCTCATACTGGGCATGGACTTTTCATAGCGAGCTAGTTACCTTGCACCCGATTGGGATGTTTTACGTAGGTCTGCAAATGTTGATGTGCCCCATCTCGATAATAACAACATTCATTATTTTCCCCGCAAATTTGTTCTATGATTGTGCAATGATTAGCAATAGATGCTCGGAACCGAAACAGCGAGGCTAGGCTTGGATGGTAATCTGATAGGATACTACTTTCTCCACTCAAGCTGAAAGCAGTATACCATTCACCGCTGATTTACAACGACCAAAGCTGGCTTGACTGGCCTGGCCATTACTCTCGAGTCATGTTGGTAGAGTCTAGATAAGCAAGAGAGCTAGCTGCACCTGTCAAAATTACAGGTGCATACGGTTCGACCAGTTATATGACAATGATGTAACCACTTCGGGAGATTCGAACCGCATCCCAAGTTCTAAGTTATTCCTTGTATAGCGCTAGTAAATTCCAAACACCTCTATCTCGTACACGGATGACACAGGTCCTCCGAAATATCCATGCAACAGGGAGGGTCTTAGTGACGTAGTTGGGGTCAAGTCTCGTATATTTGATAACCGTCTACTTTGTTCTTGCGTAGTGGCACTAGTCTTCGGATCCTCAGGTCCCCCACGTGCTGTTGTGCTTAGCGAACAAGGTAACGCCGATCTGTTGGAAGTGTGGACGCTCTTCAGAAATCAATCCTATGAAAACTAAGGTGTGGAGTACAGTTGAAAAGATCGGCCTAGAAACTATATGTACTTGACTAACCGCATTGACCACCTTTTTGCATGCACCCCCATTTTGCAGGGAATTTCTACGCCTCAATAACACGACGTCTCTCAATTTACCTCGCAATTGCTCCCTATCTACGTACAAAATGGCTAATCCAGTGGAGGATAGTCTGGACGATTTTGAGCAGCGAATCGAACGCGCTAAAGAGCTTGTCCGTCAAGGCTCTTCCCAGGCCGTAGCAGCTCATCGGTACGGTATCAAGGGGACTACACTGTCCTACCGTATTCGTCACGGTAATTCGCATCGCGACGCGGCCTCCAGGCAACAAAATTTGACTCCAGAGCAAGAGGAGGTTATCGTGAACTGGATCCTACACGAAGAAGTGTGTGGACAGGCTCCTAGCAAGCGTTATGTGGCCGAATTCGCTGCCGAAATCCTCCTTGCTCAAGGGGATAACAATACACTCGGCCAACACTGGGTGGATCACTTTGTTAGCCGCCATCCACAGATACGTACCAAAATTGGGCGCGTCGTAGATGCTAGCCGAGTTAGAGCGTCCGATTCGAACAAGATCCGAAACTTCTACACCCTCCTCGAACGCTTACGTACGAAGTATCATATCAAACCCGACAACGAGTATAATATGGATGAGACAGGTGTCCAAGAGGGGGAATCTGGGCATGGTACGGTTATTGGGACGTCTAATTCACGCCGGGTACGCGTATTAAAGTCGGACGCTTCGTCGTGGTGCTCCTGGTTAGAGTACATTTCGCATACCCAACGGAGTACACCTGTCTGCGTATTTTCCGGCAAGAGAGTCCAAGCACAGTGGTCCCCAGACCAAAATATCCCTGAGTGGGAATACACCGCGACGAGTAAGGGCTGGAGTAATAAATTTATCGCAAATAGGTGGTTAGATCAGGTTTTTCTCCCCGAGACGAAGCCTAGGGGTACCGAATGGCGACTCCTTATCCTCGACGGCCACCAGACACATATTCATGCCGAATTTATGTGGAAAGCCTACTAGAATAGAGTCGCCGTGCTGTATTTACCCTCACACTGCAGCGACGATCTCCAGCCGTGCGATGTCGGGCCGTTCTCACCTTTGAAGACCGACTACCGCCAATAGCTCAGGGCTTACGCTTCCTACAAGGCTACAGCCCCAATTTACAAGCAACGTATGCTAGAAGCATATTTACGTGCCTCGGAGAGAGCCTTTACTACGGAAAATATTAAATCTGGCTGGCGGAAGACTGGTATATGGCCCCTAGGCTCTGAAGGACTAGTCGACGTATCTTGTGATCCTCCGGAGCCTCATACACCAGATCCTCCGCCTCATATATCACCACCTTTAGTTGCTTTTACTCCTCAGAAAGCGCAGCAACTATCTAGCCAACTACAGTCGATAGAGAAAGCCGAGGGCGGGGTATCTCGTAAGGTTCGTACACTAGTAGGCAAGGCGGGCAAGGCCCTTACACTCGGCGGCCTGGAGTGTAAGGGAATACAGAGCTATAAGCAGGGTTAAGCCTTAATTCTGTCACTAAGTGACAGAATTGCTAGATCTTTTGGTCTATGTGACGTGATAGTCTAGGCTTGCTGTCACCTTACATTATTCTGTCACTTAGTGGGTGATCTGGGTTCGATTCTAGCCTGTGTTCTGGCTTTTCATTCGCTAATGGAGCCAAGTGTCGCGGATCGCCTGCGGGGGTCCGCCCGATACCGGAACCTCTGACATGCCTAAAATTGTGCCTCTGAGCAAGTTGCCGAGGCTGGGACCTCTGAACATGCCTAATGTGCCTCTGAGCAAAGTCGCCGGTCATGCGATACCCGTGTAGCGGGCTGTATAACAAGTTAGAATTGGCCTTACGTTTCTGCTCACAGGGTGTATCCCTGGGGGTCTTCTCGAGCTTGCTCGCCCTTAGAGTTACCTGCTTTATCTACTCGGGACGAGTAGCTCTAGAGGGGAGTATAATTGTAAGGGAATACAGAGCTACAAGCAGGGTTGAGCCTCAATTCTGTCACTAAGTGACAGAATTCCTAGATCTTTTGGTCTATGTGACGTTATAGTCTAGGCTTGCTGTCACCTTACACCGAGAATGCCAAACTACGTATCTAAAACGAGCAACTATATAAAGAACTCGATAAATACGCTCCAGATATACGCCAGCCCGTCGAGCCAGACCCGAATAAAGTATTCGTTAACTTATCAGCGATCCGAACAGCCCAGGACAAGCGAAATAAGCGAATACGGCCTATTTTACCGGATAAGCAGTTAGAAATTGATACTTTTCTCGAAGGAAGGGACCCTCCTAAAAAGAGGGCTCGAAAGAATATATCTAAGTCTTCGGACACTTAAATTATTATTATTAAATACGCCGTAGGCTCGAAGCTCCCGGTATCTCTACTAGTACTCCCGTATGTCAAACCGTGCCCTAATGGCTGGACTAAATACATACGCTGCGTCGTCGGTTCGCCCTATTGGCGACTGCGTTGCATTCACTACCATACTACGTTGGTTCTCAACCTACCAACAAAGTCCCCCCTGAGAAGATCGATGCTATCTGGGCCTTGAAGCTGTCCGACCCGTCCCTAGCAGCCACCTTACAATAGTCCCACTAACTACTGGTTCTCCTGTTGCCGTTGCGAGGTCTCTGCGAGAGTATAGTGGCCGTGGTGCGATAGCGGCCCGTAATCGTTCCCTCGGTCCTTCCAACAGCCCGCAAAAGAGGATTACGTGCTCTGCCGTCTCAGGGGCGTCGCCACAGTGGCATAGCGGCGAGTACACGCCAAAAGCCCCTGTCTTGAATAAGAAGGCTGCTAGTCCTATTTTTTTCGTCCTGATCTGGCACAGCGTAGACGCTTCCAGTCGGTTCAGGCCGAAATACTTGCCCCCTTTCGGTATCTGCATCGAAGGGCCCTCCGGTTCCTCAGCGATGGCGCGTCGCTGGCGATCGTGATGCTCTGCTCCGGTGAGCCATCTCTTCCTCCAGTGGCCGAGGAGGGCAGCCGGGACCTCCTTTTCCTCACTCATCCACTCGGAGCCCCGGGCCTCCTTCTCCATAGTGTACCCTGCCGGTCGGAGTAGCTGCGACGCCTGCTTCCTCTTCGCCGGCCTATCCTGCCGGAGTATATGTGACGGTTTAGCGCTCGCGCTGCGAAGCAGATTTCTCTTCCCGCTAAGCCGTAGCCGTTCTTCAAACTTAGCAGCCCGGGCACTAAGATAGAGGTCTAGTGGCGGGATTGCTGCTTCTGCTTCCAGGTGGCGAACCGGCGTCGCTTTGTGGGCGCCACAGACTACCCGGAGGCACTCGTTCTGTATCCCCATCAGGCTCTTAGCTGGCCCTGCCGGTTCCTCACTTACAGTATGCCACACAGTCGCCCCGAAGGCGATCGCGCTACGGATAACCATCGTATATAACAGCCTCGCCCGTATAAGATCGCAGCCCCACGACATATTGACTAGCTTTGTCGGGGCTGGCTTTTGAGTTGCCATTTTTGTTTTAACACGCTCAACATGGGCGTGCCACGTCAGTTTGCGGTCGAACCAGACTCCTAGGAACCTCGCTGAGACTACCGGCGACACTGTGGCGTCCCCAAGGCGAATAATTTGCGGCAAGGGCTCTCGGGCCCTAGTAAAGTGCACTAGCTCACTCTTGTCAGGGGCGAACTCCATCCCGTGCCTCACCGCCCACCGCTGACACGTAGCCCATGCGCCCTCCAACCGGCGGCAGGTCGTGTCTGGATTGGTGCCGACGCTTAGCAGGTTCGTGTCGTCCGCGAACCCGACTACTAAAAGTAGTGGGTGCTGCTCCGCTAGCTCCTCGTACAGCGTTGAAATGTATAATATAAACAGTATCGGGGATAGCGGTGACCCCTAGGGGACGCCAGCTCGTAGGGGGATTGGCTCTGACTCCTTGCCATCGAACCGGAGGCCTACCGTCCTATCCTCCACGAAGCTGCGTACCCACTCCTGAACCCACTCCGGGTAGCCTTTCCGGGCTAATATGGAAATCAGCCGTCTGTAATTGACCGTATCGAATGCCCCCTTGATGTCTAGCTGTAGCAGCGAGGCGATGCCCCCGCGTCTCCACGCCGTATAGACCACGTCCTCAACTATACGTATTGCCAGTTCGGTGGACCTCCCAGCGCGGTTACCCATTTGGCCGTTTGGTAGCAGGCCGGCCGCCTCAGCTACTTTGGTGATACGCTGGCTCATCGCCGTCTCTATTACCTTCCCTACCGTGCTAAGCAGGGCAATGGGGCGCCAGCCGCCAGGGGTCTGCTTCTGAGCTGTCGTTTTATTAGGCTTAGGGATA